GTCCGTTGAGGGAGAGCTCAAAGACAAGTCAACGGCTGTTTCCGTTCCAGAAGGTATGTGGGGACAATTATCGTTGCCTCTGTTTAACAGGACTTAATTACGTGCAGCAATGCAATTTTCAACGAACTGTCCTCGAAACTTCGAAATCCTTTTCTCACCTTCGGCGATTTCAACGCTCACAGTACAGCGTGAAGTAACGGCACCCAGGCCGTCAGTTACCGAGGATGAGAAAAGGGTTTGGAAATTGAGCAACGAGTTGGTCAAGATGCCGTAAGAGCTCCGTGTTATCATAATTTGGTGGAATATGTAAAAATGCTTTCATTTCAACCCATTTTGAAACAAGGCCGCGACAATCCTTTGTAAAAACGACAGTTATTGGCGAACGGGCCCATCCCCACCGTTTGGTGGGAATCGGCCGAACGGAGCTGGCCATGGCCGACCCACGGCCACTCTCACGGGGGGGGGGGGGGGGCGGCGGCCTTCGCTCAGGCGTGTTGTAGCAGGCGTTGTGCAGGGGAGGGGAGAGGCCGTCCGGATGACAAGCGGGGGGACCCGGCTGCCGACCGTTCCTCGCCGACCGTTCCTCCTCGGCCGACCGGGACCCGGATGGCCGTCGTTCCTCCCGACCTCCGCACGTAGACCAGGCATGAAGGGTGGCACGCCGGCCGGCCTGGGGGCGTGAGTGCTCGGGTCTCTGGGCATCCGAACGCCCGGCCAGGGGCGACTCGGCAGTATTAGTCGTCCGGGTCTGCGTATTCTACTCTGTTGAAACAGAGGTGCGGGGGAGGATCTGCAGGGAAGACAGCTGGGGAAAAGAGTTTGTCTGCGTTTCGCATTTGGCCATCATGACTTTTACTGCCTGTGCATATTTTCTTTTGGACTCTGGGGACATTTTGGATTCCACAGCGTGCCGTGCCTCGGGATACAACATACCTGTCGTCTTTTTTCCTTTTCTGAGCAACTTGTTTTCCATGTGGGACGCTGTGAACTGTTGGCGTTGTGATGTGCGTCCCTTCAGCTGAGGCATTTTTGCGACGACGTGCAGGCAGATCCCTCGTGAGGAGTATCGCCGCACTTACGGCATCTGGCATTGTACTTGCAGCACTCGCTACCGTACCAAACCGCTGGCATTGGAACTCTTGGGTGGATTCGTTATGAACACCCTAACTTCATAGCGGAGGGGACCAGCCATGAGCGTTTCAGGGAGTCGGGCGGCAGCAATGGTCAGAACAAGTAGAGGAGTGTCCCGACGTTGGCCATCTCTGAACACCGTCAGCAGTCGGACATGGCAAACTTGTTCGTCATGAGCTCCGCCAAGATCTCGTCCTCCGTTTGAAAACGGAGCTCAGGCGTGAAGATGGTGCACTTAGTGGTGTTTCTGGCATGGTGCAGGGAGACTTTTACCTATTACCCACAAAATTCGGTTGTTTTGAGCAGCGCCTTGGTCTGTAGCGCGAGTGATTGTTTTCATCATGAGTGACCCATTTGTTGGTGCTACAATTTTGAGTTCGCAAGGGCCGCAGATGGCCTTATCTTACTTTGATCGCCAGAATACGTTGATTTTCCGAAAAGCCACATTCCCACATCACAAGGTTGAACGACAATGCAAGAGCCGAGAGTATTCAAACCTGGCTCAGAGGGCAGGCGAACACTGGTCGTCGTCGACCGAGGGTCAGCATCAGGGCGAGCAGACGCAGGGCGAGCAGACACCGCGGTCGTCGAAGACGAGCGAGGGTCGGAACCAGTGGCGTTGGACGAAGACGGTTGTCGTCCAGCCATCGTGACGGAATTGTACGTACCAATGGACGGAGCCTGGGACGCGCGAAGGGTCATCAGATGAAATGACAGCCAAGGCGGGGCTAGCGGCACTTGTGGAGCTACAAAGGGAGCAAACCACTTGTGTGGGTCTCGCCAGACAGGTGTAAAAACACCGAATGGGTCGACGTGCGCCAGTTATGAGAATCCTCCCTGTGGATACAATGTGCAGCCAATGGAGGCGAAAAATGTGAACCCAGCCAGAAAAGATTGCAGAGTCCCATCCTCTTTGGCCGGTCCCCAAGAACCTACCCCAGAGAGGCCGCGGTGCGACCTAGACCACGATAAATGTGGTTTAGTGCCACGATAAACCGTTTATCACGCCCCACATCGTGCTCGCTTGGGGTGGGACGTTCGCTTTGTCGTGCACGCGCAAAGCTCGGCTGCGGCACCTAGGATGCCTGGTACGGCTGTTTCCGTCCACCTAGCGGCCGGCCAGGAATCCACTGCCGACGCAGTCGACAGCCCGTGTGACGACCGCCTGGCGGCAGGTTTACGAACCAACCAATCCGAGGTGTCGGGTGCGGCCGCCAGAGGTCGACAAACTTGCCTACTTGTCAACATCAGCTGATATCATTCTTGGACGCTACAAAAAGTCCACCGCGACACAGGAGCATCTCTCTCCTCCCCGCGGTCGAGGCCGAGCCTTCAGCCCCTTGGCTAACGTGGGGACGGAACGCGCTCCGCCGGCCCGACTGCCCAGCGCATTCCGTGCCCGTGACTGTACCTTTCCCGTAAGTCTCTTCCCGCGCACATTCCACTTGTCCGCCTCATCCGCCTCGCCCGCTCCTCCTTCTGTCCCCTCCACTCGGCATGGCGGACGCTCTTTAGGAGATAAGACCGGAGACGCTCGGGACGGAGCAGAGGCGGGGGATGCAAGGGACTTAAATGCGCAAAAGTCGAAATTCGATAGCGTTTGAACGGAATGTCATCCACATGAATTCCGCTCACGGTTTCATTTGTTTGTCTGAGCTAGAAATACCACGCTATCACGTCTTGCGACATCACTTTAAAGCAAATGGCCGTCTAAAGAAGAAAGGGCTATGAGGTCCTAAATAAGATGTAATTGTACACGTAATGCAAAACAACGACTTATTTTTATCACGATGCCGAACACAGCTAGATGAAAAACGTAAAATATGGCAATCGACGTTAAAAAAGGTTTCTCCAGCGAGGCTTGGCTCTCGTTTACAATGCCCTCATCCATAAAACGCATGTACGTGCGAGCGTGAGGCGAGGGGCATCGGGGCGGGACGTTTAGCGAGCGGCATCGAATTGGAAGATAAAAGATCTTGTCCACCAGCGCTTGTTTGTCCGTTGACGATAACAACCAGGTATTCTTAGCCGCGCATTGTACTTGTGGAAGGCTTAAAGACATGAACCCAGGATGTCATATCCACCACGCCAAAAAGTTAAGTGGGGATATGATGGGTGTCTCTTCGAGGGTATGCGGAAAACCTCAAAAGGTGCCCGGTCCACAAGCGTAGCTCCAGCCGCGTTTGTTGAAAATTTGCCTTCCTGCCGCGCGCCGTCTTCCTCCCGCACCAAAACATGGTACGGGAGGAAGACGGCGTGTATGGACGTCGCAAAATGGTGGGTAACCAATTATTGGGAGGATCGGTTTGGTTCACATCCACAATGTCTTCATATTCCTGTTGCTTGTCTCGGAAGTAAAAAACTGTATATGACTGATATAAGGGAACTCCGTTTGTTATCAGTATTTATAGCATGCCCCAGTTTCGTATGCATCGTGAGCTGTGCTCGGGACTTGCAGTAGGTAGCGAAGCAGTATTAAGGTTAGTTTACCTATTGCTTGCAGTATTTCCGGTGTTCAATTCCTGTCTACGATAAGACTTTGTCCCAGATAACACTGCAGATGCATCTCTTCACCTACTTCTCGCATTTCAAAGGAACATCAGAAGGTGAGTGCGTCCAAACACACAGCGCTTATGATAGAGTAAAGTTATAAGAATGCAGCTTTTAGATGCTGTGTATAGACGTAAATTTAATCCTAAAATGTTCAGAAATGAATCTTAAGAGTCTGTTTTCTTGAATGGGCTGGGGAAACAGACTGTGGACCCGAAAAGAGCAGTTGGGAGACAATCCAGCATACTTTTCTATCTCTGGCCACCGGGCCCGCGCCATACGCGGGACGGCGCCCGCGCTCCCTCCCGCCCGTGCTCATAACGCCGACCGCAAGCGGCAAGCGAGTCCCCGGCACCGCAGCGGTGAAGAACTTTACACATACAGCCGTTCATGGGAGGGAGAAATGGCCGAGCCCTGACGCTAGAAGCGAACTCTTGAATTTATGTTATCTTCTTAAGCCGTTCCTTTACGACAAAATGTTGTTATAATGGCGGGAATGACGTTGCGCCTCACAACATCCCCACCCTCTCCATCTTCTTTTACACCATCTCCCACACCAGGGCCCATACATGCCTAGCGATTCTTGCCTTTCTCAGTAAGCCTCCTTTTGTGACATTTAAACCGCTTTCTTCTGGTCGCTAACATCGCTGTACAGTGTCCTTGCTTGTGCATGTTTGCTAAGAAATGCAACCAAATTGCAATGTTTCATGTTGCCGACTCTCTCCAGATTTGTGTAGCTGGCGCATCCTTGACATTTCCACGACATCGACTTCTCGTATAAGTGCTCTCCATCACCTACACGAATCGATGGCACGTGTGCCCTCGTAAGCTGCTAGTGCGCCCTAGTCCTCGCCTGGCTGTGGCATGCGACACTTGTAGGGCAGACTGCACACACACACACACATACGTCGGAGGCCACATAAACATCCGGTGTTGGCTGTCGGTTAGATTCTGGGCAGCGTGCGGACACTGGCGGCCAGAGAGCGGCGCCCCTTCATCCGCTCTCCCCACCTGCTTCTGTGACTTCGCACCCCCCCCCCCCCCCCTCCCCCCGTCACCCCGGCAGCGCGCTGCGGCAGCCATTCAGCAGCGTTGGCTCAAGCGCGGCATGGCTGCGCCTTGGCAGGACTCCTGAGTATCCTCGCAAACTCTGGTGTACGGCCCCAGCGCGGAGCAGGCCTCGGTGCAGGAGAAGATCCGGCATGGTCGCAGCCATCCCCAACCAATAACATCTCTCATCCTCATGTATCTGTGCAACAGTCTTTCAGGTCGGAAAATTTTGAATGCAGTCAAAAGGGGGCGGCGCTGCTTGTACTCACCATCCGGCGACGAACGCGGCCGACGACCCTGCTCCGTCCGTTCCGCTGGCTTCCGTTGGAGGAATTGTGCACGCCGTTCATGGTCACGCCGCGAGAGCACTGTTCACCCGCCTGCCTTGAGTTCTACACGGTCCCCACACCCCCAGCGCACGCAAACGCACTCCACACGACACGCTGGTGGTCCGGCCTATTCCTCGCAGCAAGCTGGAGACCTGAAAGAAAGCAGATACACCGATTTCAGTAAATTTTGTAGTCGTATTTTACACGACCGATTGCACTTCTTATGCCAGACACTGAAGGCCCCGAGATGTCCTTGCATTTGAAACAATATTGTTTAGCATTACGGTCATACTCCGTATCGCAAATTACATGTTGCGGTACACCTATGCCAAATTACTGATCGGTATGCTGACGTTCATTTCTCGTTTCACACAGTGTGCCACAGATCGATCACGGAAAGAAAACATCTGATGTTTTTCGGAACAGATAGCCTGAGGCGGCAGTGACTTAGCGGTTAAATGGGAAGACAGCTGCACCCTCAGCATTTTAGAAGATTAGTGTTAACTTTCGGGCGCTGCATGCAAAGAAAGAACCGTAAGTCGTTAAGTGGATTTGCGAGGAACATTGCGCACATAGATATGATGGTAGTGCTATCCCCATTTCTCGTAGAAAAGGCAAGGAAATGGATATGTAGATGCGGTGATATTTCGGCAACTTTTCTTCGAGGAATAAGGTTCTTACTACTTTTTTAACAAAGAAAGAACCCACAGACTGTAATTGCTTTCCGGTGTGTTGAATATTTAATAGCGTCTCAAAACATGCAGTTTCCGACCGGCAACAACCGACATACAGGAGGACCACGGATGGTTGTGATCTATATAGATAGATCTATAAATAAAATAGATAGATTATAAGTTAGTATATATGACAAACACCGGCTGGTTTGATATATATATATATATTTATTTATATATATATATATATATATATTATATATATATTGTTGTGTGTGTTGTGTTGTGTTTGGGGTGTGTGTGTGTGGGTGTGGGTGGTGTTTGGTGGGTGTGTGTTTGTGTTTTGTGTGTGTTTGGGGTGGTGTGGTGTGTGTGTTAAACACTGAAAGCGGACGCCGCATACGACCCTGCTCCGTCCTTTCCGCTGGCTTCCATTGGAGGACTTATGCGCACCGCTCACGGCCACGCTGCGAGAGCACTGTTCACCCGCCTGTTGTGGTCCCCGCTCATCCCCCAGAGCCCAACGTACACAAACGAGCGCGCTGGGCTGTGGGGTGTGCTTCAACTGGAGCATCTTACGCGAGCATCTTATATTTTAATGGAGTATAAGTATATTTCGCATGAGTTCTCCTGGGTTCTGCATCATCTTCCAAAAGTCTACAATCTGTTCCTTTATGGGAGATTTTTCGGTTTGTGGCACGCCCTCGTGCAAACTATCTAGATAGCTTGTATCATTGCTGACACCCTTGGCAAAAATAAATGCTCTCTGACCAATTATGTTCAATTCGCACAAGAAAGTCCACAACTTGAGCTTTCAAAAGGCATAGTTATGGCTAGTTTTCAACTTGAGTCTTTTTAAAAATACTCCACTAACCGAAATAATGGACAATTGCGTGAACAGTTTATTGGTCTTGTTTTACGTTTGTTGGCTTTGTTGCGATTTGTTTCTGCTCTTTCCTAGAACTCTCTGCTATCAACTCGTTCTTTATTTTCAATGGCAAATGGCCTCTCACTTCAGTCATTAAGAGTTTCATAAGGACCTTCTCAGATGCAGAATATGTAAAAATGCCCGATGCTCATGAAGCCTTAATACTAAATAGGTATTTGGTGTTGATCTATCTCGGAAATCGGTCGATACAAGAGAAAAAGAAGCTTGCAAACATACTACAACGTGTTACCTTTCTCCGTCTCCAGAAAGCGCGCAAGTAAATCTGTTTACTGTTGAATCTCTGTTTAAGTTAAGGGACACAATTTCCAAATTTTCTGACTCTGCAGTCATTTGTAAAAGTAATGTTGTACTTCGTGTGATGGGTTCAAACCTTCGCAGCCTTCACTGCAGCATGCAGCAACATTTACGAAGGTCTGACCGTGCAGGTAGCATTCTGTCCCACGCAGATCCTTGACCCTTCCGCGAGCATTCATTTGTTTTTTGACACTCTCTTTAACATTGACAACTTTTTCATACTAGGGGATTGCAGAAAGTCTAACGATCGTAGGATTCTAGAATAACCTCATACTGATCACAAAAACTCCCATTGAATATCACGGGGTTTGCAAATCCTTTGCACAATATATGAGAGACTTTTCATACGAAATCCAAAAAATATTTTGTCGCTTGATTTTTTTATTTTGCAAGCTGTCCTGTTTCCACGCGGAGAGGTCGCGTCTAATCGTCTACCCACGTTGGTTAACAAATTTTATATCGCATTGTGCATTCGTACCGTAGTCCTGCTGAAGGTACACAACGTATCGAAATGTTGACAATTACATAAATGATAGCGACTGCTTTCTTGCCATAAAATTTGTTCTGTTTTATAGGCATGTATATATATATATATAATATATATATATATATATATATATAATATATATATATATATATATATATATATATATATATATATATATATGTATGGCCACCGGCCTGTGGTTGTCTTCTGGACGGCCCGTCTCCATTTGGGTCGCTATCGCGGGCCAGTGTCCAGCCTGTGCTGGTTTATACCAGCCTACCGCGGGCCAGTGTACACCATATTACATGCCGGTGTATACCAGCATATTGCGGGCCAGTGTCCCTCAACAGCCGGGCGTAACATTCCTGATGCACTTCATTGGAGGTCGTGCAGCACCGAGTACATCATGCAGGACGTTGAGCAATGCTGAGATGCCAATAAGACGCAGCATGCCCCATCTCGGTGGTGATGGTGGAAGCGCTGGTCTCGCCACAGCAGTGACTGACCGACACGGCGCGTCTCCGCGGTGCGGTCAGGGTTGGCATGGTGATTCCTTATAGAAAACGATGGAGGCGTTATGTTCTGCGAACGCTGCCCGCTGCGGCGGGCCCATCTTCGTTCGCTAGCCGTCGTCGACAGCCTTCAATGCGCCATCTTGTGCCCCTCTGCGCAGCCTCTCTTTCCGTCTTGTGCCCTTCTGCGCAGCCTCTCTTTCCGGCGTAGTCTGGCGGGCGCATGCGTTGATAGCGCTGGTCCGCGTACAAAAGCGCCGAGCGCCGACAGTTACAACCACGCGGCACTGCCCGAATCCTGCGGAGTAGCCATTTAGCGCTGTTCCGCGTACAAAAGCGCCGAGCGCAGACAGTTACAACCACGCGGCACTGCCCGAATCCTGCGGAGTAGCCATTTAGCGCTGGTCCGCGTACAAAAGCGTCGAGCGCAGACAGTTACAACCACGCGGCACGGTCCGAATCCTGCGGAGTAGCTATTTCGGGAGCCGCTTCCCGATAAAAAGAGGGTCACCCACCGGCGGCGCCCACTGTTTACCGGGTCTTGTGACACATGTCGCACAGGGCGAAGAGAGGATGCAGACGCCCGTCGCCAGTGGCGGGATCATGGTGGACGACGTCGTCGGTCCGCGCATGGATGTGACGCGTTTGCCAGAGGCCAAGTCGCCACTTCACTAACGATGATGCGTTGACGTGGTTGTTTTCATTCGAGTGGTGTATTGGACCATCCCTGGTATTGCCACCGTTTGAGATGCAAGGCGTCGCAAAGCAGTAATCTGCCTTTTGATATGTCCTAAGATAGGTTCAATGTCCAGTGATGTGTGCGCCCCCCATGGGCATCAAGCCAAACTGCCGATTCTAAGTCTTCATTGTCTCCGTACTTGACACATCATGATGAAATCTGCATGAGTCAGCGGCCTGGCGCGCTGTTGAGCACGAAAGTGTTTGGCTAGGCTGCAATCGGGACTGGTTTCATAAACCGCGGCATAGGTCAGGCTCCGATCAGCTGTCTGTCCCGTTTGCATGATTTATAGTTTAATTTTCCCATCACAGATTGCTAGAACAGTAGCCCAGTTTTCAACTTGAATGGACCGACGCTGCTCGGATCAGCCGTCCAGCTTCTTCCAAGCTGCGGCCTTTATGAAAGCCCTGGACCGTCCTCAGGCCACAGCGCAGTCACAGCTAACAGCTTCGTGACATTTCCAGCAATTCAAACGCTAATATTTCTGCTATGGCAGGTCACGGTTTCGCGCAGCTTTCAGGGACAACACATGCAATTACTTTAGAGTTGTGCCGGGCATTCATCGTTGGAAACGCATGACTGGTCCAAAGTGGCCTGATTTACCCGCTTCGTTGCAATTTGTGGAAAATATAACCATACCCGTTGGATCATGTGAGAAGCGTAGCATTTGCTTCATGAGGAAAAGCTATACAACACCGGCCGAAATCGGGCTCAAGAATCGGGACCCAGTGCCCGGACATCTAACAGGACGGGACGAGTTCGTCTGAGTAGAAGATAGCGCTTTTTCGCAAAAGTGCGGACCTATATGTGCAACAGGTCTACTTATAGCGTGAGCCCCGATCCGACCGTTTTTGGACGCCTTTGAGGAACGATGTCGGGTCTCGGCAAACAGAGCACGTCAGGCCGTGAAACTCACAATGTTGGCCAGTGTGCCGTCTATAGATCTTCGGGCGTTATCAACATTTCCTGACCCGCAGGTGCGTTAGCAATCGATTGGGATCAGTCTCAAATGCAGCGCCGTGATCCAAGCCAAAGATAGACCGGGGCATGACAGCTAGACAGGCGTCGTGCTGAACATGACGCCTGTCTAGATAAACCCAAACAGTTGATGTGAAAAACATTGAAAACAAAAAAAGTATGGGATAACGGTTTTCATAAAAAGTTCGTGACCTTTGAATACTGTGTAGCTGAAGATCGCGCACCAGGTTATTCGCAGAAGATCGTAGCGATGAATATCGTTGGAAGGAAGATTGTCAAGGGTAAAGATCGCGTCGCAAGGATCGTCAAAAAAGTATGCATGGGAAGAACCGTGATCTAAAGATGGCACGGTGCAAAGAACGGCAGGCCTAATTATATTATTTATGTAGAGATAGGTGGTGGCGGTATCGCAATACACAGCAAAGGTTAAAGCGACCACAGCCTGGGACATTTCACTTGACGAAACCGCCTTCGCGTTAACAGTGCCTCCTTGTTTCTCAGGCTACAATCCTCAGATAACAAGTTCGAAGGGTTATCGATGCTTTGGCCAATCTCGACGAGGCGTCTGTCACGTGTTACCTCGTGCCTTACCGATGACGTCACTGATAACGCAAAACGCCCGAAAAGATAGTGATGTCCTCAAGGGATTCCTGTACCCTGAGTTTTCTAGGTCACATTCGGCCTTGCAACTGGCACCGAACGTCTGAGCGTGCTCTCGCGTCCGGGAAGCAAGCGCTAAGAAGCATCAACTTTCGCAGTTGAGAAAACTGACTTTTGGTGACACGGGCGCATCCACAGAATTTGTGGCCAAGTTTTGTCACTGTATCGGCCATGATGTCTCTGCAGCGGAGATGTCGGGATTTGACTTCAGCTTCAAATGCCTGACTTCGGCTTCATCTCGCGACCTTCGGAGCCGCAGCGCCTCGGGAGTGACTGCGTGTTCCGGCGGATCATCAGTTCCCGTGCCGAGTGCTTGCGATATGGCGCCTCTTGGCGGCGTGGCTGAGGACTCAGTGAGTATGGCCGGTGGACGCCCTGTCGGAGGCAACCATTGCTGCCGACAGGCATCAACGCCATGGCGCCCGAGCCCATCGATCATCGATGCCGTCGCGGACGTATACTGGTGCGGCCGCTCGCTCTCCTGACGCCGAGGTAGCCCCGCTGCGACAGTGGCATGCCCGGTCTGGATTCGCGGTCCACGCTACGATCCGGACTCGTAATCTTTGCCAGGCTCTGGACTTGTGGTCCACGCCAGGGTCTGGACTTGTGGTCCACGCCAGGGTCTGGACTTGTGGTCCGTGCCAGATCTGGACTCGTGATCCATGTTGAGGTCAGGACTGGTGGTTTATGATTCGCGCCCTGTTTGGCCGTGTCTGAAATCCTCGGCCACGCTACACAACAGACTATCGCAAGGCGGCGAACAAGAATTTAGACCGTTTGGTCCTGGTAGATGTGTTTTTCTCCCGTTTTGTGACAGGCCGGGCGCTGCGTGGAGTACGTTCCGTTCGGGGGGGGGGGGGGGGGGGGGGGGGAGCACCGGTCACAGGGGGCGCAGTCAGGATTATCTGGTGGGGTGGGGGGAGGGAAACTCAATGGGAGCGTATCACAATGATTCTTGCGTTCCGTCGGGAGCCATCTATGGGGAAAACAAATGTCTAGGGGACGTGAGCCGGTCGCACGCCATCGCCCTTGGCTCCGCTTGTGCCAGCCACCTGCTGGGCGTCACAGGCATGGTGTCAGCCAATCGTTCGCGCGTCTCTCGTGAAGAGTCAGACGATGTACCCGAACGTAGATGGGAAGTATCTAAATAAACCATGTATGCATAGGCATCCATTGATCTATTCTTGCCGTGACAGGGAATAACATAATGTTATAGATAAGAGATGGACCTTGTCACACAGTAACCAACGTTTTAATAAGCAGTTTGTGATTTGTGTTACGGATGCCTAAGTCCACGTTTGGCAGAGTGTTTTCATTGTGGTCGCCAGTATGTCTGAAAAAGGGTGTTTTCGTCATTTCGAGGTCAGAATCAAACCGTTGTATTTATCACATCTAAGCAGCACCAGTAACTCGCCTATCATACCAGCATTACTAAAACGCCCGACAACAAACTGGAAGAAACGTCACGAATCGGTTGAACCAGATGATCAGGTTTAAGCGCAGCAGAGCTTCTTCCTGCTCCCTAACGGGCTCAGCGTGGCACTGCGAACAAAAAGAGGATGGATTGATACTGCCAAATCGCATAAAGCTCTGTTGACGTGACACGTTGTATGTCTGGGGTCATAGAGGTCACACAATTATGCGAGCCGCTAACAACCGGCGAAAAATCTTGCTAGCGTTTGGGAGTGGCAAAGCCGGCTTCTAAATCGTTTCTTTCTTTCCGGTGCTGTGATGGTAATGCCATTATTTCCGCGTTTGGCGGAAAAAGGGACAACTGTCACCTTTGCATCTGTTAGCACGCGCCCGGATGGCCGGTTGAGTGCCCTTCGTCTGAGTAAGTCAATTTAACTTCCGAGATCGCAAAAAGTAAGACAGCTGGAGGCGTCAAATAACAGAATTGGTTTATCTTCATGTGGACTTGCATGTCATAAAATTTGAGGTCCCTATGCTATAGACTTTGGGTTAAATAAGGTCAGGCAAGGTCACGCCCTAAATTAATGTCCAGTGTCCCAGACCTCCTCATGTAACCACGGTGAACATAAACACTTAGTCTAAGCTAAAGAGCATTGGTTTTCAGTGACGTTCAGTGATCCTGTTTGTTAAGGTCATGACAATCAAAAACCTGCTGGATCGTTTTGATTTTTGTTTTGTTTTGAATAAGCGGTAAATATTACGCTAGGCGCTATGCTGCTAAAAAGGGTCAGTATTGCTCATTTAAGGCCAGTGACCTACTCCAACCTTTAAGAAGTCCACGGAAGGTGTCTGTTGCGGTCCCCGTCACAAAGAAATTCGAAACATGCATCAGAAAATACCACTTAAACCCAGCTCTCCACAAAAAGCAGGTGGTCTTGGCTTCGGTATGACCTTCACGCCTGACCCTAAGTCAAGGGAATTTGTTATAGTCATGAACTCTATAGTTGTATTGCCTAAGAAACGATCTTAGAGGTGTATGGCTTTAGAGATGTATGTATGTATGACTACAACATCATGGTAACATATGGCATAACATCTAACACCGTCGCACAAGATTGAACGATTCCCTAGAAATTGTCTTTGTTGACAACCACGGCCTGACTTTGACCTGTCATAGATCAGGTACATTACAAGGCACATAAAACGTTACTCAAAAAATTGCTATTCAGTTCCCTACAGCTATGCAAAGTTTGGGGCGGCTACACCGCACTGTTCGCAAATTATTTTGTAAAAACCTACCCGGGTCAAATTGGCCCCACCCTGCCACGTGTTAATCAATTATCCTCTTAAGAATTTAACTCTAATTTTTTCTAACAATCTCGTGTGTTGTTTTTTGCACTTAAGCTTTATCTTGCGCTGTCTCCTGATAATTTCAGGCTCAGGCTGGCTCAGGCTGGTACATCAATGGTGTAGCCAGGGTTTGGTCCAAGACGGGGCCGAATCGGGTCACATGACCTTTCAACCCAGAGAGATTCGTCGTGTTATGTTTTAGAAGATCTACGAGCGATTGAAATTGCGAAGAAGTCACGGGGCCCTTAGCCTCAAGGTGACCCTGCCACCATCAAGAGGAGCATGGCCCAATTAGCTGCCCCCGCCTACCTTAGTTACGCCCCTGTGGTGCAAACGATAAGGCGGTTGAGGGTTGAGATGTCATTACATCATTCGTAAAAAAGTTAGATTTCTTCAGAAAGCCTTGCGGGAAGCTATGCTGCATCGTCGCACACTGCAAACGAAAAAACACAGCTCGTTGAAACACCTCGACCGCAGCACTTCACAAACCTGCTGGCTCTTCGCCGGCAGGCAGCTGTCACGCCCAGCGAGCGCGAGCGGCGCTTCAGCTCCTCCGACGGGCTGCTGGGAGGACCGAGTCCGAGCGACGTCGCCGAGCACCACTGTGTCACACTGGCTGCTCGAGGCTCGGGGACGCTGGCGAGGCGAGCGCTGGAGGGCGGGTGGTGTCTCCGAGGGCAGCGGCGCTGTCGCACGCGGTCAGGCTGGCCAGTGTAAACAGAGCCGGCCGGCTGTGACGCCGCGGCTGGCCGGCACGCGCCGGACAGATCCAGCTCCTGCGCGAGTCACCGAGTCACCGAGTCACCGAGTCACCAGGCCCTGGCAGGTCCGACTTCTGATTGGTCGTCGGACAGTGGGCCGTCAGGGGAGCTCTGAGTGCCTGACCTGCCTGACCTGAGTGCTCTGAGTGCCTGACCTGCCTGACCTGAGTGCTCTGAGTGCCTGACCTGCCTCTTCCATCACCTGTTCAAGAACGTCTTGCCCCCAAATTTGTATCGGTTTGCATTCAGTATGGAGCCAAAAACAACAGAAAAGATCATCAAGGAGCGTTCAAAATACATAAAGGTGTAGACTCTTATGCCAAGGGAATTCTGTGAACCACCACTTCTCCAATGGTGAAGTAACGCAGGTAGGTGTCCCAAATTGTGTATATGTGTATACATATACATATATATATATATGTATATATATATATATATATATATATATGCATATATATATACATATATGACGTGTAATTTATGTAGCATATGCATATGTGTTCAGCAAAACGACGGGTTAGGCTAAACAGGACAAAAAGCGATTCCGCTGAGACAATAGCATCAACCGCACTGGGGCTCATATCCGTTTCTGTGTGCAGCTGCCCACACACCATCGAGTGCAATCGTGGAAGTGGTCAGCTCGCTCACGTATCGTGCAAATCATATCCGTCCAGCGGATGTTGAGACGGCTGAGGGGCATTCAGCAGCCTGGTCATAATAATAAAATTGCCATAGCATTTCTAGAGCAAAACAATCAGATCGAGAGACCAATGTTTAATACGCCCTCGGGTGAGGGGTCGAATTGACCCCCCAAAGATTTTTTCCAGAATGGTTTCCGAACGGCGCGGCACGGCCGCGCCAAATTTTGCATGGCTGTAGACAACTGAATAGCGGATCGTTTGCTTTCAGCGGAGTCAATTTCTAGGGAATCATTCAATCTGATGCAACAACGGAGTGTTGGACGAAGCCATGCATCTCTGAGATGCTTTCTTAGGCAACACCAATATTAAATGAGCAAGTTACGTTGACCTAAGGTCAGGTACAAAGGTCAGACCAAGGTAAAAACGCATCTGTTTTTTACTCAAGGGCTTGCAGTATGGAATAGTTTTAGATGCTCATTTCGAATTTCTTGATAGCAGGAACCACATTATATATTAATCATGGACTTCTTAGAGGTCAGAATAGGTCATTGACCTGAAACGACCCGGGTCAACATGTTGTTTTTAGAAACATACTGCATAGCGTAATCTTTGTCGCTTACTCAAATGGAAACAGCTATCTAGGTTGCGGGGGCACTTTGGAGACCAGCCTGGAAGTTGATCCTGTTTTACCTTATTTGATCAGGAGGCCATAACCTAGGAACCTCAAACTCTGACCTAAGTGAGTTCAAGTACAGGTCAACACACCCTACGAATTCAGTGTTTTTAGCTCTCTTAGTTCCCGAGATCTCGAGGGGGGGGGTCAAACTGACCCTCCACCCGAGCGAAGAGTGTCCAGCCGGCCACCCAGGCGCGTGTTAAATGTATTTACACACTTATCCATAATGGCATATGGCCAGGCACGCGCTGTCCAGCGCAACGCATGGCTGGGCTAATTATTTCACATGCCATGTTATACTGTGTCAGCGATTTTAGCTGACTTCGACAGGTCTGGATCACTGTAGCCGGAAACGAAAGCATCGGAGGCTTACGCAGATATCGTGAAGAAATTGCGATTACCAAACGCTATTGCCTGTGTGGATCTGGCTCTAAATGCGTGGTTCTTAACGCAATTAAGCCAAACATCATTTTGAGTATCACTTTGCTTTGTAGAACGCGCTGTACCAGCTTTCGGCATTTCGAGCACGAATGAAAGAAACTGCAGCTTGGGTCATTCTGTTCTTTCCTTTTCTTCTCACAGGAAATCAGGTATCTATAGAAGTGAGGATTAGTGTCAAGGAGTGTAGGGACACGAGAGATTGGGTGCGAAACGCTCGAAATTTAATAAAAGTTTTCGCCGTGCCATGTGCGAAAGCTGTTAAGATAGCTGTGTGTGGACATGGCATGTCGATTTGCGCTGCGTGACAGTTTTCGTAAATGCACCACCGGCGAGAAGGCGGACAAAAGCTTTAAAAGTCCTACCTGGCTTGCCGCGCATGACACAGTCACCGGCACCTCTTAGTGACGGCACGTCACGCACCAATAAGGGGTATGTGTAGCGCCCGGGCAGCGCAATGTTGGCCTGCGGATCCGCCTCTCGCTCCTCCTGCTCCTTCGCAGCTCGCTGGAGCCGCAGCTGCTCGGCGCGGCTCCGCCTCTCGCTCCTCCTGCTCCTGCGCAGCTCGCTGGGCCGCAGCTGCTCGGCGCGGCTCCGCCTCTTGCTCCTGCTGCTCCTGCGCAGCTCGCTGGGCCGCAGCTGCTCGGCGTTGCCCTGCGGTTCTCGTGCCGCCTTTGCTCCGGTTATGCGGCGCCCTGAAGTCTCCCTGCATGCTGCAGCTGCATCGCTTGGCGCGCCTCAGGCTCTGGGCGTCCACCCTTCCCCAGGCGAGTGGCTTCGGCAGCTCTCACCGCTTCGCGTCCGTGTCGCGCGCGGTGCTAGGTCGCATCGCCCTTCAACTCTCGTTTTGCTTTCTCGCCTCCATCAGGCTCTCTTACTCCGCCATGTAACGGGACGGCGGTGCTGAGCGGCTGTCGCCGCCTGCCGACTCGCCCTTGCTACATTAAAGCGATGCATACTGGTACGCAACTTAAAACGCGCATTCTTCACACGTGATAGCTGCTCGCACAGGGACCGGCGACACCACAGCAGTGGCAGCTGTCCTCCACCACCAAAGAAAGGACTGTACGTCACGTAAAACTGCAGTGGTAGCGGGGCAGCATCCGCTTATACTGATCGGTACGCGGTAAAGGGCTGATGCACTCTTTATATACGCTGATATTTGCCCTGTTGCTAGGCGTCGCGTGCGGCACATTATCTATTCCCAAGCAAGATGCATGCTTTGTGTTGACTGCCCCTTCCAATGTAATAAAGTAATAGAAAACGTGTTTATGGTGTAAGTGCAAGCGGCATTATGAGCTAGGAGCCTTTGTACTGGCGATGATCAAAGTTTAGTATGTCAGAGGGCACCGGTCACATGGTGTTATCAAACAAATATTTGCTATGCTGTAAGAATCGGACATCTCGAGCTGTGGCCGTTCTTGTCTTTTAATTAGCTGTTAAGTGTCTTTTATCAACTTCATGCCAATGATCCCTGCTCATTTCATCGGAACAATCTTAAGTCAAAGACGAAGCCTTCACATTGGTGCAAAGACATTGGTGCATTATTCGGTAGACGTTGCACTCACAAACGGCGCACAGCTGGTCGGATCCGTTCCCAAATCATATTTACGTGCAATCGATCGCGACTACAGAGTAGCTGCCCCGGTGATATTGGACTAATCACTTTCTGAGCAATGCATTCGAAGTGAGATTTACATAGGCAGTTGCGCTTAGCAATTGCGCTTGCTCTCGGGACAATATCTGCCTGCGAGTCTTCACGGGCTTTCATTGCCGGCTCCAGCCATCCAAATCTGTCGGCCCCAGCTAAGATTGCTGACACAGGATCACACGATATGTGAGAGAATTAGTCAATTCATGTATTGCGCTCAGCAGCCCGTAGTTAGCTGCACACGATCAAGGATATAGGTGTCAGCACAGTTAAACGCTCTTGTCTCAGTCTGACTGTTTTGTTCCCGCATTGTCTGGCAATTTTATTATTACGGGCAGGCTGGTGAATGTCCTTCGAACATCTAAACAATCGCTGGACGGATATTTGATGCGCAAGTTACGTAATGGAGTTGACTATTCCAATGATTGCACTCGATGGTGCGTAGACAGCTACACACAAGCGGATATGAGCCCCAGTGCGGCTGCGCGCTATTGTCTCAGCGGAATTGTTTTTGTCCTGTTGAGCTGAACCAGGTTGGCACGCTTCGGTGCCAGTAGCATGACGAAGGCGTCAGCGTTTCTAAACCAGCGCTCACAAATGCTTGCGATGAGTCAGGATGGGAGAACGTTTAATAAGTTCGGCGCTCTAGTGGAGAGGCACCGATCCCCAGCATTGGTCCCCAGTCGGGGCACGTGAGGCAAATGGTTCTGCCTCGTGCACCGCGCTCGAACAGACCCATTCGACTAGAATGTGGGCGAGAACGAGTCAAACGGTAATCACGTGATTCCCGAAGCCCAGCTTGCATAACGGCAGCAAGCGCCGCGACTGGCTCAACGATTTAGATGTAGTTCCTGCGTGGCTTTTAAAGTTACATACTCGCACACAACGTTGTGTAATGCCTAATTTATTAATATCTTTCTAGAGGTAGCTGAGGTAGCTGAGGCAGCTGAGGTAGCTGAGGTAGAGGTAGCTGTAGTCGCTAATAATCAACCTCACGAAAGAAGGGTAATACATCATATTTGGTTCGATTAATTAAGCATACCATTCTTAATGACGGCTGTTGGCTAACTGGCCACTGTATTGATTCGCAGGTAATTACCGTCGAGGAAATCCCCTGTCATAAACCGAGTAATTGGGGCGACTGGAAATGGTGGTGAAAACGCACTCTCACCGATATTATATGAACTTCTTCGAAACAGATGCATTCGTCCTTAAATAGGCAACAAACGTCGCTTTACTGGGATTCCGTAACTAGCATTCGTACACTCCCACTATCTCATGCATGTTTGCCACTGGTCATACCAAAGGGAGGCCTACAGTGTGGCCGCTGCACACAGTCTCCGCAGGTAATGTGCGACTACCATACCCCTCAGTTTTTAGCGGAGCCCTGCAGTCATACACCAATCATACCTCGGAATTCGTCCCCAATAAAAGTAGTCACCTGGTGCAAGGTTCACCGCGACACCACCACGTAGCCCCCACCCTCTCTCGTAACTGAGTAGTGCCGGAATCCCACATCGGCTCATATTTGCGAGCCTCGCCTTCTGGAGTCGCTGCAATGATCTCAACAACAGTACCCCCCGCGACCGAATTCACTGCCGCTGCTCAGAGTCAGTTACTAATGAACAGCTTAGCAAAAGCCTTTCTGTGGCCCCATGTCAATCCACCTGCAGAAAAATCAAACAACCTTTCCGACAGCCCAACATCCCTTTCCGACTTCCACCTTCTGGGAGTCGCAAGAAGGCAGCTGAAAAGCAAGTCTCACGTTCTGTGAGTCGCGAATCCATCAACGGTACCCTACACGTGCTACTACTACTCTCACTAGCGGCCAGCGACGTGCAAAATGCGTCCCATCCCATCTTGGAGTCACGGAGAGATCGACCAACAGTCGACTCCCTAATTTCTGTGGGACCTTCCAACCCACGGCAGACAACTGCCTGTGTACCGCGTAGGACTCCTCCATCGCTCCCCGCGAGGAGTCGCTGCGTAAAGCATTTATGACGTATTTAGCCCGTCGTGACAACAATTTTTCGTCTACAGTCGTGAAAACTCACAGCCGCCCCAACCTTGAGGTAATTAATTTGACACATAAACATGGACTGCGGCGCATCGTGCCCCATGACGCGGAATTCAAGCCGCACACTATTAATTGATCTGCTCTTTTCCAACAGAGTGTTTATTGAAGCGCATAGAGAAATACCAGGCAGGAGTCGGCACGCCATACAACACACATTAGCGACGGATCTGTATACCAGATATGCTAATTGCTGCGACACGACGTAAGCACGAGAAGAGAGCACGATATATAACAGATCAGGCTTAATCTGCGAGCACGTAATCTCAAAAGCCTACAGAACGCGTCCTCTAAACTGTCCAAACAGAAGGGAAAAAAGGACCGGGAAATCTCAGAGAATCGCCGAAGGGTAGGCGGTTCTTCCGCCAGGCTTACATTTTGCCGAGATGGAGGTGCCGAGCGCCCGGTCATTGGCGCGCCAGGCCGACATGGCCTCCCATCAAGCGCGTCCGCTTGAATGTCCCTCCGACAGACGACTTTCGCTGCTACCGTACCGTCTGAACGTGCCCCTGTACTGCTTGAACTTTTTCATACTCTGACGGGGTCAGTGTTTTTAAAGGACCACCCCCTATTGATCGTCCTAGCGCGCATGTCTGGGACGAACACCCGGGCCAAACGTAACGAAAAAAAACCCATATAATACTCGTTCATTGAAAAAACCGCATGTGATGCGCGGTAGATAGGCACCCGTTATTTGAAGCTAACCTTTCCGATCCCGTCCCCGGGTTTACAAAAATACACACATCGTAAGAGTAACCTACTTCCACTAAAAAACAGCATCTCACCAGCAGCGGATGGATACACCGTGCGTCACAAAATTCCGGCTAAAAGGGCGGATAATTTCCATGCTACCAAAAAATTACCGGCCGCATGGCCAGTGTAATGTCAGGATCTGAGGGCATTATCATGGTGTTATGGATGCATGGGTAACCTGGAAATAACCCGCAAGAAAAAGTCTGCACATCTTTGCAGTTGTGTAGCTCAGAAACTAGAGGGTTTAAGATCTTAAGAAGGGCAGGGATGTGAACTGCATTGAATGGTCTTCAAGATGGTTATTTTAGCTCAGAACCCCATACAAATGCGGATCACGCCCGTGATATTTCAGGACACGATTTAAAAGACTGGCATGGTTTGCAACTACACCAGAGCATAGCGTTACGCTGCCTATCTCCCTTCTTTCCCTTTGTAACGCTTCGCTTGCGCTCGAGTGTGATCGAATTCGTTCACCAATCCGTCCGTGCTTATGGGCGGCCACTGAGGTCCTTATCGAAAGGTAGGAAAACCGCACTGACTTGCTTCTTGCCGTGTCCAGCGAAGCACAAGCTTCGCAAAAAGAAATAGAACCAGCACAAACAAAACTGGGCAATGAAATGTTGGGTTTTCGAGGTGTCAAAAAACCAATGACGTCATATTTATACTGATCAATAACTCACAACTTAGCGCTACTGGAAATAGTCCAATGGCTCAAGCCTTGAAACAAACAAGCTGCTATTGGCACTCAGTTGCCGTGAATGAGCTTGGGTGGCCAAGCGTAGTTGGTGCCGATAAGTGCCTATGAACTTAATTTTACGATGCAATCATGGTCATGAGTGAATTTTGTTAAGGCCTGGCGCTGCTTTTTTCTCTTAAGCGCAGAATAATCAAGGCATCATGTTCCGTTGCATGCCCATGTTTAAGGGGTGTAACCGCCAGGTTGAATGTATAGACAAGCGACATTGTTCTCTGTCTTGTGTACCAGATGAGATAATTCGGTATGCGCGAAGCCTAGAAGAGCTACTTCTAGATGCAAACCACATCAGAGATTTGCCAAAGGTGAGCTTGCTGCTGTGCTCCCTAGCCGTCTTGCAGGGATGCCAGAACTGCTGAGTTTGGGTGGATGTTGATTTAAACAGGTTTCATTGTGTTAGTGGTTGATATATAAGCTCAGTGAAATTGGATTTATTGGCCTTATATATGTATATAATGTATATATGCCCCACCCTATAACATCACCTAAGCTTCAAACCTTGTATCATCAATCATTGCTGGGTACTCCCTACCATTGCTGAAGTGTAGTCCATGAATACATGGTGGAAAGTACATGCAATGCAAAACATGAAGATGCCCTGCATATCTCTTGCTGCAGCAATTTCAGTGCACATGCATTGTAAATCTGAATGCAGAGTTTGGCACATGGATACTGTCAATTTTAACTCACAGGGAGCCCATATTTTAAGAAATTGTGATTTTGCAAAGATAATTTCAATCAAGGCTATCCTGAATAATTTTGTCACATAAAATAATGTTAAATTTTGGTGCAACTTGGCCTAGTCTAAGTTTAGCCCACAAATGCAGGAGGTTCAGTGCAACAAAGAAACGGCTGTGTGTAGGCATCAGCAGAGCTGCGCAGGCATCAACAGAATGGAGGAACATTTTGCAGACTGGTAGTCAAGTATCAGGCTTCTGGGAATGAATGTGAAGGGCATTGCTGGTGGGATAACCAGGTACCATGGCCACTGCCTGCCCCACTGATGCCAGTCCACAAAAATGTCTCCACTGGGCCAGACCCTGCAGCACATACTTACTATCAGCTTGGTGCATGTGTGTTCTCATTGTGGCTAGATTGTGCTGAAAATTCAGAGAATTTTGTGCTGAAGCACTTTGGAGATATTTTTAACCTTACCATTAAAATGTTATAATTACTTGGAACAAGAACAACATTGCACTGAAGTTGGCAGCTGAGACTCACTGAGATTCACTGAGATGTTTTGGCTCAAATGGCTGCTGTGATGTTACTGAACACAATATACATATTTGGTTAACTTGCCATTTGTCTGGCTTTGAGATCCTGTATACTCCTGTGGTATGATAATCATACTGTTCCAGTCATTTCTGAGACTACCACTTCCAAATCTTGGTTTGACCATTCCTACCAGCTTTGGTTGAACAGCTCATGTGTACACTCCCAGGAGTGCCCTGTGTCCAAGCGTGCAGGTGACCAATGCCACCATCTATTTCAGAACTTCTTCCAGTTATCTAAGCTGAGAAAACTGGGACTAAGTGACAATGAGATACAAAAACTTCCTGCGGACATCATGCATCTTCAGTGCTTGGCTGAACTTGATGTGTCCAGGAATGGTATGTATGATGTTTAAACTACTTTTGTCTCTATTTTAACTGTGCCTGTATGACTGTGTTGCTGTTCATCCAAGTTCCATAACTGTCATAGTGATGATAACATACCATAAAGCAGATTGTTCACATCCATTGTGGCTGGCTATATATAGGTGTGTCTTTGTATTGTCTTTTTGCACTGTTGACCCTCTACAGGTCTACTGGAAAGCTACCAGAATCTGAAATTTCCTCTGCATTCAGCAGTATGTAGGTATGAGCTGCAGGTGATGATGGTTGAGTGTGGCATCCAGTCAGCTTGTGCCTGATATCAGGAGGGCATGTGTGGCTGCTTAAATCCAGTATGCATAAAGGGAAAACAAATTGTGCACCAGCTAGCATTTCAAATATGGCAATAGCTCAAGGCAGAGCCATTATTGATTTCAGATGCAATTGAGGAAGATGTTGAGATGAGCAGTGGTTCATTAATGCTCATGTTTTTTTTTATTGTGCCATTTGATGCTTTATCTTGCAATTGAACACCAGGATATCATAAGGTACATTGCAATTCATGTAACCTCATGTCTTTGTATAGCATGCAAACTGACTTCTCATTCTTGAAGGTGTGACCATTTCAGATAGGTCAGTTTCTGTTTGCAGGCCCAAGATGATCTAGCTCACTAATATTTGTAGTTACCAAACACATCATCCAAACAAGGAATCCGAGTTAGATTTCGGCGGAAATCTTGGCTGTGGATAACAAGTCCTCATTGTGATGTTGATGTTTATACATTGGTGGTGTTTATATCCCAGATGTATGGCATCATACCACTGTCAGACTGGCTCTGCTTGTTGTCAATCTCAGCTGGTTGCAGTCTTAAGTGGTTGGCACCTGGGTCATGTGAAGGTCGCGCCAGTAGCAGTCACGGGAACTGAGGCAGCCGGGGGTAGTACGCTCGCAGCTTCAAGACTAACGACGCGCGCAAATGGGAACACATGTAGTATGTGCAACTATTGCCGGCTCAGATGGTGGCGATTGTCGTGCGGTAATCGGACGTCATCGCCCCAGTGTTATATTAATTCGCGTGACTCTATTCATCTTGATCCATGCATGAAGCATGCCCTGGGGTTGCCAAGGTGGTGTGGCCTGCACTTGTACCACACTCGTGATTAAGATGTATGGTTTTGCCTACCTTCACGTATCGTTGCGTCCCCGGACGGTCTATGCTCAGTGTAAGGTTCTGTCAGGTGTCTGCGAATGATGCGCGAGATTTACCGTTGATTTTTTGTGTCGCTTCTCGAGCGGTCCGAAAGGTAGCGGAGTACGATCGAGTGCCTCCGTTCTCACATCGCCAGCCTCAGACGGGTGGGCAAGCTCGCAGTTCTGACAGATTAGGCTTCCAGCCGGCAGAGTTGTGCCATGGGGGCGGGGAACACATGGACGGTTAGAGCGATGTACTGTGGATGTGTTACGTCTTCACCACACTGCTTGGATTGGACATAAGGGGTAGACCTAAACGTGCTCCGTGGTGTGGGAATATCTGGCGAAGTGAGATTGTTTGACCAGGCGAGCGTCACGTTTTTGGTGACGTCACGTCACGATTTGGTTGACTCATATGATTACCCAATTCCAGACGTGCCAGACATTCCTGAAGAAATCAAGAACTGCAAGTCTTTGCAAATAGTGGATTTCAGTAGCAATCCCATCACCAGGTACGTTTTCACATCCGCTCACCTTCGACCGACGCGGGTAAAATGCTCCACCATAACGTATAAGAAAATGGTTCAGATGCATGCGTTGCTGCCGCCCTGTGTCGTCACGACTGGGTCCGTCCGGCGTTGTGATAGCCCCCCAAGCCGTCTAGCGATGGGCTGACCGCCATCCGCGACGTTGCATTCACGGGCTGGCCCTTCCACGCGGGGCCTGGCGTTCACCTCGCGTCGCCAGGTCGATGAGACGTGATGAAACACCGGCAGCTGCTGCGATGGTGCGCTGGCAACTGTACCCTTTCCTGGTACCCGGTCGTTCTGTTGACGGCTCTGCCTGCTGATGGTTTGATGTTGCCTTGATGCTGGAATGTTGTGTTGCCGGGGGTCGGATTGCGGCGCTGGTTGGATGAGTGGACGGTCGACGTAACGTTACTGGGACGGTTCGGTGCCGTATGGACGGTGTGCTGTTCTGTCTGGGTGTCCTTCCCCCCCCCCCCCCCGTTTTGTCTGAACCTTCTGACGATGTGTGCGTGTGTTTGCAGGCTGCCGCAGGGCTTCGTCCAGCTGCGCAACCTGACTGTGCTCGGGCTGAACGACATGTCCATCACCTCTCTGCCGGCCGACTTCGGCAGGTAGGTCGGACCCCCGACTCCCGACTCCCGACCCGGCGACTCCCGGCTCCCGACCTCGGACTCCCTACACGCGACTCCCGATCAGGATTCGGGAGTCGTGTGTCGGCGTCGAGTCCCGCTCTGACCTCGAGCCCGGCCTATCGGACAGTCGCTCCGTCCTGGCGCGGTCTCGCTCGGGCTCCGCGCGCGGTGCCGCGACTGACATCCAGGACGAGGCAGCGCTGTGTTTGTACCTGCTCCGTGCCGCACGACGGGCTTGATTCGGCGTTGTGCGGCGCGCGGTTTGCAATTAGTTCTGGGTTCTTCGCCTCACGGAGTGAGTAGTCTTCACCAAATAGCTTACGCGTGTCGGCTTGGTGATTTAATTAGCCTCTTACGGTGGTGCGGGACCGACGAGCGGTTGTAAGATTATGGTGGTTACTACCGTCGACAGCGTCCTGACGTTTATGCCGATTGATCTAACAGCCATAGGTATGACTAGGGAATCGCTTGCATTCATATGTTGACAGGCATTTATCTGATCAGGATTGCCGCATGCTGTAACTTGGCAAATGTTTTCCGCGATTTAAAGTGTCGGGAAGCGCGCAAACTCAGATGCATTGTAGCGCATTTCTATTTTCCTTTAGGTGCTCTGCGGTGGAGACTGTAATGTGCAGAGAAATGATGCGTAGGTCTTGGTTATTTTTTTCCAACAATATCTGAAAAAAAATTCTGAATTGATTCTGACAAACGTTTTGACAGTTAGTGGTGAAAGTGATGTCAGGGGTAACACGAAGCATGTTGCGTTTGTGCTACACCAGCATTAACGAAGCATGTAAGAAGTCCGTGGTGCCACCATGATCGGCCCCCCCCCCAAAATGGCGTATACACACTTAACCTGCTTCATTCAGCGTTAAATGCTGGTGATCATAACAAGGATGCCACCACAGTCATTCGCACCGCGTCCAGTTGCCATCATCCTGCGAGATACATGGCATTGATATTTCGGGGACCCCAGCCAGTGGCAGACCAGCGTAAGAGGCCCGCCGCTGCGGCGTGGGTCAGTGCCGATTCACATTGTGGCGCCGGCTGGAGCCGCAGGGTCACTGTCGGCCCATGCTGAGCGCCGCCCCCGGCCGAGCCGGCCCCATTGTCACGCCACAGCTGGCTACCACCGGCGCCTTCCGGCCATGCCGGCCGCCACACGAACGTAAATTGTTATCGCGTCTGTCAAACATGCCCGCAGCGTGGCCCAAAACGGCCGGCGTTGGCGCGTGGGAGCGTGCCGCCCGCCGCCGGGCCCGGCCCGTGGTGGGAGGGGGACACTGGTGGCGGAGCGCTGCGACACCGGAGCCAGCCAGGTGGCCTAGTGGCGCCGGCGCCCGTCTACAGTTACCTTTGGCGCCGGCACCCGTTTACAGTTACCCTTGGCGCCGACGCCCGTCTACAGTTACCATTAATGGAGGACTGAACACGTCAGCGTGTGTTGTAGAGGCTCAAACACCGGTACAGACAGTGGCGTGCTGAGCATGTGGCGCTGGCAAGCAGCGTTGCTTGATGAGGCAAATCCATGTCTGAATTTGTTGCTGAGCCGCCTGCCCCCGTGGTCGCTGCCGTAGCCTGGTGAACCTGCAGTCGCTGGAGCTGCGGGAGAACCTGCTGAAGTCGCTGCCGCCGTCGCTGTCGCAGCTGCGCCGGCTGGAGCGGCTCGACATCGGCGACAACGAGATCGAGCAGCTGGTGAGTGACAGCAGGTCGGCTCCCGCCACGTGCCAGCCGCGCCGACGTGGCTGATCGCTGGGCCAAGCTCTGCTGATACCGTTGTGTCGCAACTGACTTTGGGCTATTTTTAGTCGTGTAATGGGCTCCAGTTGGCAGGAGATAGGCGACAAATGCCTTGTTAGCAGTCGGATGACACGTAAATAAGCGGCACCGGTGCTGTTTTGACCACCCGGGCGTCACACGTGCGTGTGTCGCGTTTTCAGCAGGCGACTATTGGAAGCCTGCCGTCGCTGAAGGAGCTGTGGCTGGACCACAACCAGCTGACCCATCTGCCACCGGTCAGTGGGGCGCACGGCGCACCGGAAGCGCACGCCAGCGATCTCCCTCGGCTCCGTTGCTGTTTGCGAAGACACCTCCCGCTTACCGTTGCCTAATACGGGAATGCTCCATTGCCACGTCAGCAGTGTAGGAACCCAAGGCATGCACTTCGGAGGTCCAAGCAATGCTGCCTTCCGCTAGCCCAAAATGTGTTTCTGTTGTTGTGTTCTGCAGTCCCCATCCCGTCCCCCCGTCCCGTGACATCCTGTAATGCCCTGCGATCGGACGGGAATCTTAACGGCGTGCGGATCGGTAAACTGGCGGTGCGTCCGGCGGCCAGGCCTGTGGCCTCTGTCCGGCGCTCGTGCACGGACCGTGCGCCGCGTGCGGTCTGACCCCCCCTCCCCCCCACACCGTCCCACCACAGGAGATCGGCCACCTGCGCAGCCTCAAGTGCCTGGATGTGTCGGAGAACCGGCTGGAGGACATCCCAGACGATATTGGCGGCCTCTTCAGCCTGGAGGACCTGCTGCTGTCGCAGAACTTCCTCGAAGCTTTGCCCGACGGCGTAGGCAAGCTCTCCGAGCTGATGATCCTCAAGGTCGACCTCAACCGGCTCTCACAGTGCAACGAGGCGGTCGGCAGGTGGGTGGGCGCGCGCTGGTCGACCCCCGCGCGGACTGCGCGCCGCCCGCTGCCGCGCGTCTCGGCAGGGGCGCGGGGGATGTGGCACGCGGCTGCGTTCGCAGAGGTGCAGGACGTGAAGCACAGACTTGATATTGCAGGTTGCAATGCCTAGTGCATCCGTTTTTGTCGTTTGGATTCACCAAAACGCGTGGCACTCCGTGCGCTTGTCCCACGAGAGGTAATTAAGTAATTACAGCATGAAATTCACGCCGTGCAGTAGGCTGATGTGCGGGGAGCTGCTGTCGGGCCCGAATCCCTCACAAGTGATCCGTGTCGCTGCGGCGTTCGCGTCGCTGAGACCGCACCGCGCTCCGTGTGCGCAGGTGCACAAACCTGGAGGAGCTTATCCTCACCGAGAACTTTATCACTGAGCTGCCCGAGGCGATCGGCAACCTGAAGCGGCTCACCAACCTCAACGTGGACCGCAACCGGCTGGAGAGCCTGCCGCAGCAGACCGGTGAGAGGCGCGCCGGGGCGGACGTCAGGCGGGGCAGGTAGGTCTGTCGGCGGAGGGGGCGGTCCCAGGCGTCCCCTGCTCGCCGGACGGGGACGTCAGGCGGGGCAGGTAGGTTTGTCGGCGGAGGGGGCGGTCCCAGGCGTCCCCTGCTCGCCGGACGGGGACGTCAGGCGGGGCAGGTAGGTTGTCGGCGGAGGGGGCGGTCCCAGGCGTCCCCTGCTCGCCGGACGGGGACGTCAGGCGGGGCAGGTAGGTTTGTCGGCGGAGGGGGCGGTCCCAGGCGTCCCCTGCTCGCCGGACGGAGACTTCAGGCCAGGCAGGTCTGTCGGCGGAGGGGGTGGTCTCAGGCGTCCCCTGCTCGCCGGACGGGGACGTCAGGCGAGGCAGGTCTGTCGGCAGAGGGGGCGGTCCCAGGCGTCCCCTGCTCGCCGGTCCCCTGCTCGCCGGACGGAGACGTCAGGCCAGGCAGGTCTGTTGGCAGAGGGGGCGGTCTCAGGCGTCCCCTGCCCGCCGGACGGAGACATCAGGCCAGGCAGGTCTGTCGGCAGAGAGGGCGGTCCCAGGCGTCCCTTGCTCGCCGGGCGGAGACATCAGGCCAGGCAGGTCTGTCGGCGGAGGGGGCGGTCTCAGGCGTCCCCTGCTCGCCGGACGGAGACGTCAGGCCAGGCAGGTCTGTCGGCAGAGGGGGCGGTCTCAGGCGTCCCCTGCCCGCCGGACGGAGACGTCAGGCGAGGCAGGTCTGTCAGTGGAGGCAGCGGTCTGCAGCGGTCCCCTGCGCGGCGGGTGGAGGCATCAGCGGAGGTGGTGGCCTCAAACGTCTCCTGCGTGCCGCCACTGCTCTCGTGCGTGTGCGTGGTTTGCCCCGAGCCAGAAGTTGTGTGTGTGGGTGTGGGTGTGTGGGTGGGTGGGTGCTCGGACGTGCCTCGGCTGAAGCCTAGCGCCCCGAGCTGCCGCTGCTGACCTGTCCCTGGACGGCCGCCGCTGACCTGCCCCCGGGCGGCCGCCGCTGACCTGCCTCCGGCCGCCGCTGACCTGCCCCCGGGCGCCGCCGCTGACCTGCCCCCGGGCGGCCGCCGCTGACCTGCCCCCGGGCGGCCGCCAGGTCACCTGCAGCAGCTGGGCGTGCTCTCGCTGCGGTGTAACCGGCTGCGCTACCTGCCGGCCACGCTCGGCAACTGCACGGCCCTGCACGTGCTGGACGTGTCCGGCAACAGGTGGGCGCTGCCGCGGCCTCGCCCCGCCCGTCCCGCTCTGTGTCCCGTCACCTGCTCCAGCCAATCAGTGCATGCGTGGCGTCGCTGCGTCACATTGCGTACTATTCTCGATGGCTATAGGCGTTCCTGACGTCACCGCAATTCGGAAAAGAAAGCTTCGCTTGTTTGTCTTGCTTTGTTCAATTGCTTTCTGAGTGTTTTCGGTATCGCAGCCTTTGTTTGCGTCAAAGAACGTGGTTCGCTATGTGTTCTCGGTGTCGGTCTATTCTGCTGAGCCATCGTTACTGCGTGACCGACCCGCGTGAGACGCCATAATACGAACGCTGTTTCATGGAAGCCATAGCAACGCATAGCGTGTGTCACCGTGACATAGAGGCCCCGCTGAGTTTTTAAGGCTCAATTTCTGTTTTCTTGTCTGATGCTTTAGTCGGCTGAAGAAGAGGCGACGTTAAGAAAAACCATTGCTCTAGTCGCGCGATGAGAGTGGCAGCATGTTACGTTGAACATATGGCTTCATCTCGTTTCCATGCGTCCAGCCGGCGGCCAGACGTAGCGTACCGTGGTGTGGTTGTGTGGGTGAGCTCGGTGCCACTCGCCATTGACCGGGCCCTCGCCACCCGCAGACTGCAGTACCTGCCCATCACGCTGCAGAACCTGAACCTGAAGGCCGTCTGGCTATCAGAGAACCAGGGGAAGCCGATGCTGCAGTTCCAGACGGATCTGGACGAGAACACGGGCGAGGAGGTGCTCACCTGCTTCCTGCTGCCGCAGCTGGACGAGACCGGCGAGCACGGTAAGGTATCACCTGACCCTGGTTCCGACTCGGATTCCGACCTTGACCCTAACCTTAATCCCGGCACTGACCTCGTCCCCGACCCCGGCATTGATCCCGACCCGACCCCGACGCTGTCCCCGACCTGACCCGACCTTGACCCTAATCTTGACCTAGGCCTCGATCCCGACCCTGACGGGAATCCCGATCCGACCCTGACCTTGACCCCGGCTCCGACCCGACCCTGTCTCCGACCCGACCCTGGCTTCAACCTGCCCCTGACTCCGATCCGCTCATGACCTGACCCCGACTCCTATCTCGATCCTGACTTAAACCTTGACCTTAACTCCGACCCGATCCTGACCCTAACCCGGGTCAGGTCAGGGTCAGGTTCGCGTTTCCTGGCACCCAGAGACAAGAGCTGGTCGCCCTCTCCCTGTATTCGGCTGTGGCCCGGGGTAGCGCCCCGGTGGACAGGATGGCGGAGTGGCTGATGGAGGCTGTATTCTCGAGCCCATGCGCTCGCTGGCTGCGTTTCTGGGCGCCCTGGTGAACGGGGATGTTGTAAGTGCATAGTGAATGGCAATGGTCGTCAGCTAACAGTAAGATGCAGAGGACGCCGGCGAACAGCTTGTGGAGCCCGTTTAGGGGGGGGGGGGCTCAGCGAACATTTATGATAATTCCTGTTTGCTGTCTTTTCGTGCCATGAGCTCCGAACCCTCATTTATACTCATGTCGTAACGCATTTGGTAACAAGTGCTGACCGAGGTCGCGGCGGGCCGCTTTGGCACATTAAGGGCCCCCTGGAGGAGCCGGTGCAGCGCGCTCTGGGCTGCCATGGCTCCGTCCTGACCACGGCGGTTGGACGGTGTCTCCCTTCAGAGTGAGACGTCGGCGCCGGTGCCCGGTGGCTGTGCCTGTCGCTCCTCTGTGCTCCCGTGTGCTCCCCTCTCGGTGCGCGGCTGGTGACGCCGCGCCTCGCGCCGCCAGACGGCACGAACGGCCGCCTGGACCGCTCCTCGGGCGACGAGCTGGCCGGCAGCGACGCTGACTGGGAGGCGGCCGAGCTGAGTCGGGCCTCGGTCGTCCAGTTCCAGGGCCACGAGTCGGCCGACGACGACCCGGAGCGCGAGGTGAGGCGGCGCCGCTGCGCGCGCGTCCGACGGCCCCACCCTAGCGGTGGCGTCCGAGGGGAGCGAGCGCTGACGTGTGGTCGCGTTGGGTCCCATCGGTGCGTAGTGGTGCCGCAGCAGGGCTCGGTATGTGTGCCCGGGACATGCCAAGGGGCTGATGCCGGCAGTCTACTGCACAGCCGCGAGCATATATAGACGGGTAAAGATATCCTCGCATAGAAGGCAGGGATTCCCCACATCGCTGGCTCGTTCAAAATGCCTCTGCACGATACGATAATGAGTTGCGCAACCACCTGACACACGCGCTGTGAATATTGTGCGTTGCTATTCAGGCCGTCGCGCGGTGTGGCGCTGGTATGCTGACGGTATTCGGGCGTCCGCTGTCGTAAATCGCTGCCTGTTTTTGCGTGCCGTGCGCTGCAGCGCGATGTTCGTGAGCACTCTCCCGCGTGGTGGCGGCGCACCGCCGCGCACTTCCGCCGGCGGTCGGGCGTATGGCGTACTGACGCGTCGCCCTCGTCGCTCCAGAGTCACTTCGTGCGCCACAACACGCCGCACCCGCGCGAGCTCAAGGCCAAGGCTCACAAGCTGTTCGGCAAGGGCAAGAACGTGGACGGCGTGGCGCTGCGGTCTGAGGAGGTGGGCGTGATGGGCGCGGCGCTCGCGGGGCCGCGGGGCGGGGCTCGCGCCGCAGCCACAGGGGGCTGCGGGGCGGGGCTCGCGCCGCCGCCGCCCGGCGTCCGCACGATGTGCGGCTCTCGCTGTCCGCTCTGTTGTGGTCACGGTTGGCGCCCGGTTTGACCATGTCGTGTGACGCGCGAACTTGGGCGATGTCGCATGTTGTGCTGCCCCCGGTGGCGGCTGACACGTCCCACTGACGCCCAGTTGGAATGTCGCGTGAGCGGCGCAGTGTGTGCTGACCGCCGTCGCGCGACGTCCCACGGAGGGGCCGGCGGGTGGCACCCGTCCTTCCGCCCGGTGAGACGCGCGCCGCCGTCGGCAGGAGCAGCCGCTGTCGTTCCGACCGAGCCGCGCCAGCCCGCCGCCCGACCGGCAGGGGCGCTTCAACCCCAACTTCAGGCGCGACCTGCCGCGCGCTGCCGAGCCGCGCCCCCTGTCGGCCGGCGACCCGCCCGCGCCCGCCGCCGTCGACCGCCACGACGACCCGTCGGCCGGTGAGGGAGCAGGCGGCCGGTTCGCACCGCGCGGGTGTCGTTTGCCGAAGCAGGTGTCATGCACCAGTGATGGCTGGGATTGACGATTCGGTGATTAGTTCCGCGCAGGGATGGTGTTGGCCGCCCCCGCTGAATCGTCTGTCATTCGGTTGGCGAGTACAGTAACAATGGCCGTTCACTGGTGATCCGCTGTAGGCCAGGTTTGGTATTCGTGTGAATTGGCGCCATGTCCCTGTGGTGCAGAGCTCCGACACCAGGCTGCGCTGCTCCCTGGGTGTGTGCACCTCTGACCCGCCGTCTCCTCCAGAGGACGCGCCGACGCCGCTGCCCACCCTGGAGCGGTTGGCGCCGGTCGAGGAACCGGAGCCACACTCGGAGCCGGAGCCGGAGCCGGAGCCGGAAGGCCGCCGCCAGGTGGGCTTCGTCACCGACGGCTCGGAGGCGGACGACGAGCTGTCGGTGGAGCGTCACAACCGGCTGCACCGGCGCGACACGCCGCACCACCTCAAGAACAAGCGCGTGGTGGCTGCCAAGGTGAGGCGACGACAGCGGTGTCGGTCGGGCGCGGCGCCGCAGCGGCCGGGCGTCGGGCCTCCAGATGTGGTCCGCTCCGGGGGTGGAGCTGGACGCCAGCTGGCCCGAGAGGCTGTCAAGTACTCGCATGCTGTCGGAGCTTTGCCATCGCTAGTGGCCACTTGTTTCTGTGCATGCGATGGGTTGGGTCCTAAAACGTGCTGGTGATCAGACCGGTGCGTGCTCGCGTGCGCAGCTTGCTGCTCTGTCGGTTTCTGGCGCCTTTGCCGCGCCGCCGCCGTGTGGCGTCCGCCCGCGCCCGCCGACCTCGCCGCTGCCGCCGCAGGTGGACCAGGAGAAGGTGGCCTCGATCATCGCCGAGGCACTGAAGCGGCGCGAGGATGAGGAGGGGGGCATGCTGCCGTCGCCGCCGTCAAGCCCGGCGCCGGACGCCGCGGACGGCCCGCCGCCGCAGCAGCAGCAGCCCGCCATCGTGGTGGAGCAGCGGCAGTTCGAGCTCGACGTTCAGGTGCGGCCGGCGGCTTGGAGTCGGGCTGGTTTGTCCGACGTGTTGTGCTGGTGCGCCCGGACGCGGCGCTGGGACGTCTGGGAGTGCTTGAGTCTTGAGGTGCTCCCGTGGTGGACCCGGCGGCGTGTGCTGCACGAGCGGGGAGACAACACTGATTTTGACTCATCCAGTGCTGACTCGATCAGGTGCTTCTGTTAACTGCTGACGAACCTTGCCCCCTCCCCCGCCTCCAGCGGCGTCCGTTGTGCCCCGCTGACGAACCCCTCTGGCAGCGGTGTCCGCTGACTGGGGGTCCCTCCGCAGCGCGGCGCCACCGGCCTCGGCCTGAGCATCGCCGGTGGCAAGGGCTCGACGCCGTTCCGGGGTGACGACGAGGACGTGTTCATCTCCAAAGTGCTGGACGGCGGGCCGGCCGACCTGGCCGGACTGAAGGTGGGTACCGAACGGCGCGGCACGGCCGCCGCCCCAGTCACGGCGATGTGAGCGATCCCGGCGTGCAAGGAACTGTTTGCGGAATGGTAATGTGATGCGATGACCTTGGATACAGTGGTGGTACGTATGGCTCTACTTGCTTCTAATGCAAGGAATATTGTGCTGGATTGGCGCCGTTCTCGCGTTGGTGGAAGCTTTGCGTGAATTTCATTAAGTGGTAAGTGAAATTGCTTTTGAATATGCGATGGCAGTTGTGTTGATCATGTTTTTGTGTGACTTATGATCTAGTTGTGCTGAGGGCAGTTGTGTCGATTTACCGGCGGTTTACACCTACGCCAATTGCTGCTAGCTGACGGCCACGCTCGTGCAGCCCGCTCACTGGCCGCCCGCGCGCCCGCCAGGTGGCGGACAAGCTGGTGTCGGTGAACGGCCTGCCGGTGCTCGGCGCCGACCACTACGAGGCCGTCGGCATCCTGAAGGCGGCCGGCGCCACGCTGCACCTGCAGGTGCTGCGCGAGGTGACGCGCCTCGTGCCGGCGGCCGAGCCCAGCCCCATCTACCAGACGGTGCCGCCGCCCGTGCCCGTGCAGAGGCACACCGCGCCGGAGCCGGCGCCGCCGCAGAGCGCGGCGTATGAGCCGTCTGCGGCGCAGAGGATGGCGCAGCAGCCTCCAGTGGCGCAGAGGATGGCGCAACAGCCTCCAATGGCCGCGCAGAGTAGTCAGGCGCCCGTGGCCGCGCAGAGAAGTCAGCCTCCAGCGGCGCAGAGTGCAGCATATCAGCCGCCGGCAGCTCAGAGCACACTGTACCAGCCACAGCCTGCGCAAAATGCGACGTACCAGCCGCCAGCAGCTCAAAATGCTGCACGTCAACCCTCCGCGGTTCAGAATGCAGCTCACCTTCCCCCAGTAACGGCCCATAACGCAGCATATCAGCCGTCATCCGGTTCGAGCACGGCTTACCAGCCTGCGGCCACCCAGAATGCTGCGCAGCAGCCCGCGGCGCCGGCCCATCCCCCCACTCAGCCGCCGGAGGCGGCTCAGAGAGCCGCCGCCTTCCAGCCGCCGGCCGGCCGAAGCTGGGCGCAGCCGCCGGCCGTCGCCTCCCCCTCCGGCCCAGCCGCGGGGCACCAGCCAGCCGGCCCGGCGGCGCCCGGCCAGCCGCCGCCGGCCGGCGTCGCGGACCACGTGGCTCGCCAGCGGCAGCAGACGCAGCATCAGCTGCACCGCGAGCTGGAGCAGCGCATGGACCAGCTGCGGCGCGACGTGGTCTCCAGTAGTCGGCTGCCGTCGTCTAGCCCGGCGGCGGTACGGCGGCCGGTGGCCAGTCCGCCGCCACCGCCGCCGCCGCTGTCGGCCCAGCAGCCGGAATCAGCGGAAGGCGCGCAGGTGGGCGAGAGATTGCAGGAAAGCATGGCGCGGTGCGAGGATGTTATGGGCCTCTAGTGGCAAACCATCATAGTGTCCATTGGTTTGGAGGATGGCGTCCTGAACTCGATGGTGTTGTATTTGAACCTCTTGGGCGGTCGTGGCATGATAACTCGAGCGTAGATCGGCGCCGTTCTATGGCGTTCTCATCTTCTGGCCAGTGACAAGGCTGACCGTACCCCGCGGGTGACCCGAGACGCCGCTCTGACTCCCCCCCCCCCTCCCCTCCCCCTCTTCGTTCAGGTGAACGGAGACGGCGAGCCGCTGGTGCCCAAGATCGAGACGATCCACACGACTCTGATCCGCGACAACGGCGGCCTCGGCTTCAGCATCGCCGGCGGCAAGGGCGCCGCGCCGTTCGTCGAGGGCAGCGACGTGAGTGACTGCCGCATCTGCGCTGTGGCGGCGAGCCCGGCAGCCCGGCATCACCCCGGCTGAGGGTCGAGTGGACGTCAAACGAAGCGAGGCTGTCCGCCCGAGACCCTCCGCCTGAGTTTCTCCGCTTGGGTTTCTCCGCTTGAGTCTCTCCGCCTGAGACCCTCTGTCGAGACCATCCGCCTGAGTCCCTCCGCTTGAGACCGTCTGCCTGAGACCCTCCGCTTGAGTCTTTCCGCCTGAGACTCTCTGTCGAGACCATCCGCCTGAGACCCCCGCCTGAGACTGCCCTAAGACCCTCCATTGAGACCCTGCCTGAGACCCCGCCTGAGACCCCTGCCGGAGACGCCCGCGTGAGACCCCCGCCTGAGACTGTCCGCCTGGGACCCCCGCCTGAGACCCCCGGCCTGAGACCCCCGAGTGAGACACTGCGGCTGAGACCCTCCGTCTGAGACCGTTCGCCTTGTCTGAGAGCGGAGTGCGGCCAAGCGTCGGCGGTCGGTGTCTCGGGCCGCCGGAGCCGGTCTCTGCCGCTGCGTGTTCGTCTGTTGCCCCGGACCGACGGTGCGTGACCGGGCTGTGCCCGCAGGCGGTGCACGTGTCCCGGATCACGGAGGGCGGAGCCTGCGAGCGCGACGGCAAGCTGATGGTCGGAGACCAGGTCATCTCGGTAAGGCTCGCTGCTGTCGTGTTCAGCTGGCGTCCAGATCAGCGCTCAGGGCGCATGCGCTTGCTGCAGCTCAGCACGCGGAGAAGGAGGCAGGCTAAAGTGCCAAGCCGCAAACTCTTACCCGCAATAATAGGGAGAAGCCTTGTCGATTTTGATGATGTTTTCAGTTCTGCATTTCAGCAGCTACCATAGCCGTACTAGCTTACGCAGAAATGGAAGGATGTTAGCTTTTATGGATAAATGCAAGTATTGGGCTTTTGCGAGAATAGATGAATTGATGGTGCTCCATCCAGTTGTCTATAACCCATATCTCCACGTGTGGACGTTTTTGCGCGCCTTATGAATGCGCTTGGATGAGTATCTGAGCAAAGGTCTAGTTCGGCACGTGCCAACTGCACAAAAAGGTATCAGAGCGGTGTTCAACTAATTTCCTACAGTGTTCTTGTGAACGCTGCACTTCAAACATGGGTGCATCTGGCAGGCCACCACTCAGTCTTAATACAAATGAAAACGGGTAATCTGGACGGGAGAATGAGTTTACTTGTGGCGTTTTGAATCCCGGTGCTAGCTCCCTTCATATCGCGTGGTCTGTGATCGTGGTCACTGCAGCTCGCTGCTACCTTTGTCCGGTATCTAATCTTGTGCAAGCAAATCTTAACTGATAGCCTGCTGTCGGCACGTCGACGCCGCAAACGTCAATATCATCTGGTCACTTGCCTTTTGATTGAGTTATAACAGTAGGGCGGATAACAGTTGAGTTATAACAGTAGTTTCACGCAGCCCTTCTGAAAAGGGTGTCATTTTCGGTATAGCTGAACGCCTCAGCAGTAAGCGGCGTTGACGTGGACGTGGCCAAGCTAGATGTCGGCGCGCTCGAGCACCGTGCCGTACCGTACGGCATCCGTTGTTGTCCTAATGGTCGAGACATGCGGTGCCCCCGGTCCGGAGTGGAGCCGAGTCTGAGCCCCTGAACCCCGCCCGCCAGTGTGATTGGCCAGACGGCCGTGACGTCCCTGCCGAGATAGCGTCTGATTGGTCAGGTGGCCGTGACGCCCCTGCCGAGATAGCGTCTGATTGGCGGAGCCCCGCCGGCAGATAAACGGCGTGGATGTGGAGGGGGCGCGCCATGACCAGGTCGTCTCCCAGCTGACTGGCCTCGAGCGGTTCGTGCGGCTGATTGTGCGGCGGCGTCGGCTGGTGCCCGCCTCCGAGGCGACCTCGCCCGGCCGACCCGGCCTGCACGGCCGCTCCGCCTACAGCCCGGCCAGCTACATGGCCAATCGGCCGGCCTACGGGGGCTACCGGCGCGCGGAGCCGGCCGGCGGCGCGTCCCGGCCGGCCGAGCGACCGCCGCCGGCGCCCGCGCCCGCGCAGGTACCGGCCCCGGCCGCCGCCGCGCCCGCCGCGCCCGCCGCGCCCGCCGCGCCCGCCGCGCCCGCAGCGCCGCCGGCCGTCGCCGCCGCCGGCGCTGACCCGTTCCAGGCGCCGCTGCTGCCGGTGCGCCCCGACCAGTTCCAGGCGCTGATCCCGGCACACTTCACGCAACCGGCGCCGGCGGCGGCCGGTCAGGGCCCGGCCGTGTCCGTGGACCGCGGCCAGACCCACGCACCCGTCTCCATGCCCGAGTTCCCGCCGGCGCCGCGCAAGCCCGGCATCTGGACGGAGAGCGTCACCAAGAGCACGTACACGGAGACGACGGTGACGCGGCGCACGGAGAACAAGCTGTCGCGGCCGCCGCCCGTGGCGCAGGTGGGTGACGCGCCGGGCTTCTCGACGGGCGTGCCTCACGCCTGCGGGGTGGGCTCCCGGCGCCTGACCGGGCGCCTGCCGTCCCATGTCGATGCGGTGGGGCGGGGCGTGCGGGGTTTACTGCAGTGCGGTGAACTGTGCGATTGGGGGGGGGGGGGAGGGCAGCTGCCACGGCGAAGGAAATCCGTGTGGTTCCTTTGGATTCAGGGGCAACGGGGATCGAGGGCTGGAAGGTACCAGTCAGTGGACATTCGAATTCGTGGTTACGCTCGGCCTGCCGCCTTGCAACGGCGCTCTTGGTTCAAATGCCGGCGTCGCGTTTCTTTAGTCTGGCCAGCAGGATCTCGACGGTGGCCAGGCACACGGCCCCCGCCGTCCAGTATCAGTGCGTGCCGTCCGTCGCTCGTGAGTCTTCAGCGCTGGGCTCACATCGCTGTCTGAGCTCGGTTCGCAGTTGGCGCGACTCTGGGAGGTCGGGGTACCGCTCCCAGAGCCTGAATGGGAACGTAAGTGCAGCGGCCCGCGTGCGCCCCGCTCTGTCGGGAGGCTCGGTGCGCGCGCGCGTGCGCATGTGCTAGTGGCTCGGCTAACATGGCCTTGTGTCGGTGTGATGGCGCCGGTCCGCGCCGGGCTTGTGTGATTTTGGCGGGTCTGCGGAGCACGCACGGGGCGGGTGGCGCGCTCCACCCAGCATGGTCTGCTGCAAGGCATGGACTCGTGCCATAACGTTATTGGCTGCGAAACGTTTAGTTTCGAGTTTGAACCCTGCTTCTCGGCTTTGGATGAATTCGAGGGTTAATCATTTGCCGGTGTCTGGTTTGGGTTGAGGTTTGACGAGCTTGGTGGTTTGTGGGGTGGTTACGGGTACGACAACTGGGTGCTGTCGAAATATAACGTCTTTGTAAATATGCACGACATATGCTCTCCGTTTAACAACTTGGTTTTTAGCGTTTGTTTCTTAATTTTATTTCAGTTGATGTAAATTTAAATTGATATTTGCGAGATTTTAGTGTTTGGATGTCTGTTATGGCCTATCACCTTGGCCAGTCAAATCGTTTAAAAGTTATTTGTAATGCCCTGTGTGTGTAGATCTGGCTCATCAGCTTGGGTAGCTCGTGTATTTCAGCATTTGCTACCACTTGACAGTGGGTCATTGTTGTGTGCTCACAGGCTCATTGTGCTTGTAAATATAATTGAAAAGTCTATGATTTGATGGCTTGAAAAGCGATTGATACAATTCAAGCCTGGTTATGTTGTCGACGTGCTCAGTTTGGACCCCATTCTCGTTTCCACAGGATAGCTCGCTCGTCCTATATTTCAGTATTTGATGGTCATGACGCAGCGGTAGTGGGTCGTCAGCAGAATGATTTAGAACTCAAGGATTTCACTGAATTCGTCCCAGGAACGGATGATAGTCGGGATAACAGGGCCATTGTCTGTCCTAGCACCCACTGTGTTTTTTTCGAGGGGGGGGAGGTTATTATATGCCCCTGTTGCTTTTATCTTTCCAACCCACTTATCGCTGAGTTGTCTTCATACGCTAAGTGTCGGGAACGTGCAGGTTCACATTTCACCCGGCACAGACTTTGTCGTCGACTGACGGAACGCTGTGTTGTACGCGTCTGCAGCTCGAGGCTCGATTCATGTACCGTCCACGCATTGTTCCATGCGGTGCACCCGATCACGACCAACAGTGTGCCGGGCCGCTGACGTCACTTGTGTGTGTCGCTGCGCCTGCCCTGGCGTCCGCGCCATCTCACCTGTCGACGGTCTGAGCGCGGCCAACCGACCGGCCGCGGCCGGGCCGCCAGTGATCAGCTGACGCGAGCCGCCGGCGCTGGCGCAGCCGTCTGTCGTGTGTCGCTCGCACCCGAGCCTGTCCGGCCGTCAGCGACAGCGACTCTGTGGCGGCGCTGCTGTGTCTGTCCAGCGCCGGTCCGCGTGGGGCCGTTGCCTTCTTTCCCGCGCCGTTCCACAGGTGCAGCTGTGTCTGCAGGATATTTTAAGGGAACACCACTGAGTGGGTGGAATTGCTTTAAATTCCCGCTGCTGGTCGATGAAGGCTGATCGTTGTGGGCTAATCAATTATGAAGCACTGAGACGTAACGTTGAGTCGTCAACCCACGTTCGCTTCGTCAGAGACAAACTGTTTCGGTGAAAACCTATAGGGAGATAGAGGTGGCTTGTAGAGGGATGCACATTCACGTAAATTTATAGAACTCATCGTTGTGTCTGTCCTTGTCAGTGGTTGCGTTGTCAACGCTGTGCTTATCCGGAGTCCGTGTCTGTACACGATGGCGACCTTGTGACCCTCGGGCGTCTGTGCGCTGTCGTTGGTCGCCGCTCTGCCATCGGCCGTTGCTGCGTGCAGTGCCGCTGTGTTTGGGTCCGCGCGTGCCGTTCGTCGCCCCGCTGTGCGCCCGCTGCTGCGTCTGCCCAGTCCCGCCGTGTGTGAGTGGGGTAGAGGGGATGAGAGAGAGAGAGAGAGAGGGGGGGGGGGGGGAGGGCTCCGCAGGGCCTGTCCGGGACGGCACTGACATCGGTGACCGGGCCGGCAGGACGTGGTGCTGAACAAGGCCGGCGGCCCGCTGGGCCTCAGCATCATCGGCGGCTCCGACCACAGCTGCCTGCCGTTCGGCCGCGACGAGCCCGGCACGTTCATCTCCAAGGTAGGCCTCGCTCACACCACGGTGTCTGATTGTGTTGTGTCGCTCGCAGGCGCGTCCGCTGAGCTCGTGCGGAGCTTGTGGGTGGACTGCACTCAAATGCGGTGGGGAGACGACGCTGTGTGAGAGCGATTGCTGCAGCACAGTGCCCATACATGCCTCGCGTCGGAGCTTGCGGCACTGGAGTCGCCTCAGCTGTCCTCCCCCCTCCCCCGGTCCGTGACGGGCCGGTACTGAGGCCGCCTGTGCCGGCCGCACCGGCAGATCATCCCGGGTGGCCAGGCGGCGCGGACCGGCCAGCTGCGCGTCGGCGACCGGCTGCTGGCCGTCAACGGCGCCGACCTGGCGGCGGCCACCCACGAGAGCGTGGTGGCCGCCCTACTGCAGCCCGGCGCCGAGATGACGCTGCGGGTCCGACACGACCCGCTGCCCGACGGCTGGGAGGTCAGACTCGCCCCAGCCGGGCGCCACCGGCCCGCCGGCGGCCTGTGTCGGCCGCTGGTGCGCCTGTCCGTCCGTCCCCAGCAGCCGTGCGGGAATGTTCGGAGTGTGCTGGAGCCCGCCTGCCCACAGCGTGTAGTGTGCTTGGCGGGGTCGGTTGGGGTTGTTAAGTTTCAACCGCGATTGTTCCGGATGTTTTTACTGGTTATTTGCTCTTTTTGATCATATTTGTTATGCTACTATACTTCAGGGATAGAGTGGCACCTTCCTGTTCAGGCGTGTTTGACGTGGTGTGGCCTGTTGTGTCCGGCGCGGTCTGTTCTGGTTTGGTGTAGTCCGGTTCCTCTGGCCTGGCCTCTGACGCCGCTCCCCTGCACCGGCAGGAGATGACCGTCGAGCGTCTGCCGGGCGAGAAGCTGGGCATGAACATCAAGGGCGGCCTCCAGGGGCTGCCCGGCAACCCGCTCGACAAACAGGACGAGGGCGTGTTCGTCAGCAAGGTGCACGCGGAGGGCGCCATCCGCCGCGACGGCCGCCTCCGCGCCGGACACCGGCTGGTGGAGGTGAACGGCGTCAACCTGCTGGGCGCGGCGCACCAGGTGAGGGCTGACGACGCCGGCCGCAGGCGGAGGCGGGTGGCTCGGCCGGCGCGAGGCGTGGGTTTGGAGATGGTGGGTGGGAAGTACCGGATGAGATCGCTGAGTGCAGGGCACGAGTGGCGTTTGAATCAGGCTGACCTGGAGCCTATAGCTGTCGCCTCGCACGTAATGGCGACGTATCAGACGTGTGTTGACCTGCTACGTGCACCGCATCCCACAGCCGCACCCTAACGTTAACTCTACGGCTGATGTCCCCCCCCCCCTCCCCTGCCGTCAGGACGCGGTGGACGCGCTGCGTCACGCGGTCGGCTCGCTGGCCATCACCGCCTGCCACGGCTACGAGCCGGCCGAGGTGGAGCGCCGGCTGGGCGACGGCGCCCTGCAGCGGGCCCGCTCGACGGCCAGCCTGGACGCGGCCGAGGCGGGTCGACCGGCCTCGGCCGCCGCCGGCAGTCGACCCATCACGCCCGGCAGCCGGCCGGCCACGCCGGGCAGCGAGCACCGGCCGCTGACGCCGGGCAGCCGGCCGGGCAGTCGACCCGTCACGCCGGGCGTCGAGCGCCGGCCCGTCACCCCGGGCAGCGACCAGCGGCCGGTGACGCCGGCCAGCGAGAACGGACGCCGCAGCGCCGCTGAGGATGTAAGCCCGTCGACGTCCGCTCTGCAGCAGGCCGGGACCGTGGGGTGCTGTCTCTCTGCGTATGGTGCGATGCCCCAGGATGGTTTTCCTTTTCCAGGCCGGGCGATCCGTGGGGACCAGCGGCGCAGTGGTAGTGTCGTCGGTCTGTGCTCGGAGACCGTCGTTGGGCGGTTGAGAATGGGCTGGGCGGCGCCCGGAGCGTCGCGCGCCCGGCTGACGCAGGGCAGTAGCGTCTGGTGGCCCGGACGGCCAGCTCCAGAGCGAGAGACGTGGCATTGCTTCCCGACCCGGTCAGCCTTCGTCGTGTCCGCTGTCGCCGTGTGACGCCGGCGCGAGCTGCGGCACGCGTCGGTGGATGACCCAGCGATGCCGGGCAGGTGATGGAGGTGGTACGCGCCGCCGAAATCCTGTCGCACGCGCCGCTGCCGCCCAACACCGTGCTGCCGGGCTCGCCGCCCGCCCGCCACGCGCCCAAGAAGACCACCATCGTGATGAGCAAGCACACGCTCTCGCCGCAGGCCGACGCGGTGAGTGGGCGGCCCGGCCCGGTACGGCCCGCCTCGCCGCCCCTGCTCAGCCGACGGCGGAAGTGGGGCTGGCGCTGGCGTGGTGATCTTTAATTTTGTGTGGTGTGCCTTTTGTTGGTAGGGGGTGTGCGGGCTGTGCTATTTCTTCGTGAGTGGTGAGATTCTGCAGCTAACGGGGTTCTTTATGGTTATGTGCATTAAAGCTTTCGGGGTTGGGGTCCGCCGATATCGCCAAACGGGGTGTCATGACCTTTGACGACAAAACCCATCTCATTCATCGGGCTTGTGGGCGATTTTCTTTCGTAAACTTTACCGATGCCACTTCCTACGGCGGCGGATGCGTGGGTTTCAGCCCCGGTTTCGCTAGCATCAACGGCATTTTAGAAAGTGTCGCTTTTCTAACCACAAACTGTCTCTTGACTCAGACGCCACGCAAGAACTCTTTCATGCACGTATTGTTTGAATCTCGCCTGGTGGTGGTTTGGTGGTGGTTTTCCACTTGTCCCTTCCTTCCTCCGACAATGTGTACCGGTGTGCGGCTGGCACCCACCTTCGTCGGCGCCGCGTGATTGGCGGTGGTCTCGCGCCCGGCCGGCCGTGCGCCCGCGCCATTGGCCGCCTCTGACGCGACCGTGTCTTGCTTTCAGGCGGTGAACCATATATGATAGTGGGCGCCCGCCGCCCGCCCCGCCCTCTCACCGGCGCGGCGGGCCGGCAGGCTCCGCCCACCTCCCGGGCGGGCTCCGCCCACCTCACGTACCGCTCACACACACGGACACTGTCGGGCGCCCGGCTGTCACTTGTGGGCGGGGCCTCCCCCTGTGACGTCACTCTTAACATGCCGTGGTTGCGTGAGATAGGCAGGCCTTCTCTGTGACATCATTCCCGACGTTCCGTGATCGGCTGGACTAGGCCATTTTTATCTCTTTGACGTCACTCCTGTTTGTCGGGTGAGGTAGGCAGGCCCTGTGTGATGTTACTCCTAACCTTCCGTGGTCGAGTAAAAGGGGTAAGCCGTCTCTATGACGTCACTGGTGTCATGCCTTGGTCGACTGAGATCGACAGGCCCCCATATGACGTCATTGCTGACCAGCCGTGGTCAGCTGAATGGGTTGTGAGCGTCGTCAGACCCCTGCCTGGCGTCACCCCCGCCAGGTGACAGGGCGGTCGGGGCGCGGCGTGGTTTTGTTCCTGTTGTTATTGCCGGCCGGCCATCAGGCGCTGCTGTCGTGGCCGGCCTGGCGCACCATCCATCACGCGTCGTGGGGACGCGCGCATCGTCAACACAGTCAGCGTTAAGACGCGGTCGGGTTCATATCGAGTTTTGTACTCCAATACAAGTGGAATGTCCCGCGTTCGTGTCGTGGTCTCCGGACAAAGTACGTCAGTTGAGTTCCACCGAACCCGTCACACACGGGTGCCAGCGGGCGCTGCTCCGTCCCTGGCTGAGTCGGACAGGTAACGTGGTGTGTGGCAGCATGGCTGTGACCGCCTCGCGCTCGGAGTGCTGGGAGCGCCGGTGCCCCCCACGGCTGCCGGCGGCGCCACCTCTGCATGCCGCGGACGACGCCGTGACTGTAGCCGCGCGCCCGTCCGTGTGCTGGGCACTGCCGCATGATGTTTGGATGGACGCCGCTCGGCGGTCTGGCGTTTGCCGGGGTGATGAGATGGGACTGTTCGGTCGGCCGGTGCTGCGTCAGAGCTGTTGCTTTACTTGCCCTGGCCTGTGCGATGGCTAGTGGGTGTCTCCTGTAGTGACCTGTGGCTGTGCCCTGCCTCCTGTGGGCTTCCGCATTAGAATCTCTGTTGATGCATGGTAAACAGGGTAGATCTTGAAGCAAAATGGTGTTAATTCGACCCAAGAACCGATGTAAATCAATAATGTCTAAGAGGACCAAAAATGAACCTTGCATAGCGGTGCTGAATCCCACCACGGTGTATGTTTGTGTTACCACTACTGCAAGCAAGCTCCAGTCGTGGCAAGTACATAGTGCCTTTCGGCCCACGGAATCACAGTCCCATCTGAGCATAACCTTGCTGTCATCAGTGTAATGGCATTCTCGCCAGCGGTAGCAGGTGTCAACGCGCAACGCTTCTTTGCTTCTGACGCACCACGCACTGGTTTTGCGAGTTTTGCTGTGGTTTGCACGAACATTTGAAGAGGGCTTTCTCCTTTTTGTTCATTGGCATCACTTAGCGACCGCACATGCCTGTTTTTTCTCGAGTTCACGCATCATTACCCCGTATTTTCGTCCTAGACCTCCCACTGATGGCGCCCTTCCCTTGTTGTTCTGTTTTGATGACTTGTGCCGATTTGTGCTGCGTGCCCACCGCTTGATACCGGCTGAGCTGTGCTGGTTTTACTCGCACACTGCGCGAAGTTTGATCGTGGACATGGTGTCCCAGAGATGCCAGTCAGCACCTCGGTGGCATTCTTCTCCCGGGCTTGTTCAGGCTGGCTCGGCCGTCCAGGCCACCTGTTATTCAGATAGGCCGCTGCACTGCGTGGCCGGATCATTTCTCGCACCGTTTGCCGCGGCTTGCCCGCGTGTACCGTGTTAGCTGGCGGCAGTATGCCTTCGTGCCGCCTCGCTGGGCCGCTCTCCGCGCCTGATCGGGCTGCCCCGCTGTCGGGCTGCTCCGCGCCGCTGCATGGCCGCGCCGCCGCTGGCCGCGTGTTACCGAGCTGACCGCTGCCGCCCCCCCCCCCCCCCCCCCCCCAGCCGGCCGGAGCGTCGCTCGAGGGTGCCGCCGACGGCTCGCCAGCCGACTCCCCGCCTCCGCCGGCGCCGACGCCGACGCGCCCCCCGCTCGGCCCCAAGCCCAAGGTGGCGCCGCGCCTCAGCCTGCAGGGCAGGGAGGCGGCGGCCGCCGCCGCCGCCGCTGCCGCTGCAGTCGCTGCCGTCGCTGCCGTCGCGCAGGTGGGAGGAGACTGAGTCCGCCGGGGGAGCTGGAGGCCTGTGGCGGTCGCGGAGTGTGGCGCGTGGCGCGCGCCAGAGTTCGGCCACCGCTGGTCCGGTGTGCGCGCAAGTCCGCTGACAAGCTGCTGGCCGCTCAGACGGCCCGTCTCCGTGACGGTGCGGCGCAGGGTCCGAAGCCCCGCGGTCCTGGCTGCGGTGACTGCATGACCTCTGTCTTTTGGTTCCGCTGACATCCTGTGCTATTTTTAGCAGTCGGAGCCTGACGCCGACGTGGACGAGTCACCACAGCGCATGACATTCTCTGCCAAGAAGCGCTTCTTCGAGGCCGATGTGGCCCCTGCTTCTGCCCCAACGGTCCCGACTCCTGCTCCTGCTCCTGCTTCTCCGGCCCTGGCTCCTGCCCCTGCTCCGACTCCGGCTCTGACTCCGGCTCCGGCTCCGGCTCCGACTCCGGCTCCGGCTCCGGCTCCGGCTCCGGCTCCGGCTCCGACTCCGCAGCTGGCGCCGGCTCCGCAGCCGCCAGGTGAGCACCGCGAGGTCACGCACTGGCCCCGCTCACTAGGCCGCATACGATTGCATGTGGCTGACATGGAGCGCCGCCTGCTGGGTGGCTGACCGATGAATCGATAACAGCTGAAAGCCAATGCCTGTCAGAAGCCAGTGTGTGATGTTTACTTGCTGAGCTACGCAACGCCGTGCAGTTCCGAGCTGGCTAGCGACAGCGGGCTCTTTGGCGACCATGTCAAAGGTCGCGATGTCTGGTGCTTTGTTGGCTTTCCTCTGTTCTGTTTTGCCGTTGTCCGGTGGTGTGGTGTGGCACCGAGCGGGCCCGGACGGCAGACGTGCTGACGGCGCCGGCCGGTGGTCACAGAGCCAGCAGTGGACGCCGGTGCCGTGGTTGGAGGAGAACATCGAGCGCAGTCGACTCTGGAGCCTCACCCGGCCGGGCATCGCGCCAGGTCCGTCTGGCCGCCGGCTCCGGCCGGGTCTGGGGTGCCATATGGTTGAGCCTTTGAGTTATCTGTTCAGCACTGCACAAGATGTGGGCTTTGTGTGGCTGTATTGTTGTCTTGCATGGTGCTCTGGTTTGAACCTCGATAGAAGGGCAGGCACGGCCTGGAACATTCTCGAATTTATGTATGTTGTTTTTCTTGCTTTGCGCTGAGGTTGGATCGAATGAAGAAGACCATTTGAGCTGCGTCAGCACCTCCTATGTGCTGAGATTTCTGTTTTGACCTGGTCTACGGACCGCTGTGTACCGTCTTGACCCGGGCATGGGGGGGGGGGGGGCGCTGGTGGTCGACCGGTACGCGACCAGTCTCCCTTCAGTGACTGACGTGTCTTGACTCTGAGTCACCGTCCCGGCAGTGACTCCAGCGAGCCGCCGGCCGCTGCCGGCCGGACGCGCATGATGACGGCCAAGGCCGAGCGCCGCCTGCGGGAGCGCACCACAGGCACGGCTTCTGAGGAGGAACAACAGATGTCGCCAGCTGAGTGGCGCGCTCTGCAGGCTGAAAAGCGCGCCGCGTGGCGGCAGGCAAGACTGAAGTCTCTGGAGCAGGTCAGGCTCGGATGTGCTAGGTCGGATGCAGGGTGGGGGATCTGGGGAGTGGTTCTCCAGTCTGCACGCTGAGTTTGGCAAGCCGGCGCCCGTGCAGTTGCACGCGTCGACTGATGAACAGCCAGTTGCTCCTGTGTAGAAGCCACACAGGTACTTACAGACCTCCGGTACACGCAGCAAACGCCCGGCGCCACCCGGTCCGACCCCGTCTAGTTCTGTTTTTCGCCGCCAGGACGCGCTGCAGGCGCAGATCGTGATTCGGAAGATGAGCGAGCTGATCGAGGCGCCGGAGACGACAGCCGACGACAGCAGCGGCACGCCACGACCAGACGGCAACGGCAACGAGCTGGAGAGCGGCGCCGACGTGAGCACAGTGTGGTCCGCTCTCGGGAGCCGCCGGCGAGTCTCCGGGGAATCTCTCAGCGCTCGTGAGGGGGTGATGAGGGCTTATGAATTCTGGCGGCGCATGCAGAAGTGGAACGCCCTTAAAGCACTCCGAGTTAGGCATGTTGTGTGTAATCGACATCCAAGCAACGTGTTGCCGTTAAGAGACGAGAAACGGACCAACACTGTGGCAGTTTCAGCAAGCGTCGCAATGTGTTATGCACTGATTTGTTGCGCACTGGGTTGGTGACGGAATGCTTCCTAGACTTGGCGAGGGCCTGGCCTGTCTGCCCGGGACCAGACCCTCACCGCTCGACGTTCCCGTCCTCAGGACGATGCTGACAAGTCGTCCAGTCTGACCGCGCAGATCGACAACAAGAAGAGAAAGAAGAAGAAGAGGAAGCGGCAAGAGCGGGCCGCGGGGAAGACGGAAGAGACGTAAGGCCGGCAGTGCGCGCCGGTCGTATTTTTATAAGATGACTGTCAATCTTTTTACGCTCCGCGGCGGTTGTGAGCTTTTAGAACACGTAGGCAGCTGGCCCTGTTGCCATATCATGCGACCGCTTGTCATTTGATCTAAGCACTGTTACATGTTGCTGCAGCTTTTATCCAGATGCTTACACTCATTGGTAGGATAGTATTAGCGCATCGTCACGTTCGCATGCTTTCGTCGGCACGATCAGCCGGGCCCTGGCCGTGTGACGCCGGTCACCTCCACTCCCCTCCCTCCCGCAGCGTCCCGGACGCCCCCTGCTGGTGCTCGCCCCTCCCCTGTCCGGGGCTGCGTGGTGGAAGTGTCCGTCCGCCCCCCCCCCCCCCTGCCAGTTTAAGGCCGTACCCTGGTCCGGTCCGGACGTCGTCTCTGTCTGTGACAGACCGATGGGGCCCAGGCGTTGTTTTCAGCCGATCAGTCGTCATAATTTTCTGGCTTGCAAAGCTTGGAATCACTAAGTTCTGCAGAATACACGATAATTTCGTACGTGGTGTTTTTGGTAGCGCTGAAGATCGGTCATGTGTGGTTTTGGGATCTGCAAAAATGGAATAATTGAGGTCTGGAAAGCATACAATCAGTCCATACGTGAAGTGTTCCTGCGGGGCTCGGTACGATTAGCTGTGAGCTCACCAGAGCAACACGCAACCATGGACTGCCTGTGGCCGATGAATGCTGTTTTCTCGTTGATTGCGAGCGATCTGAGGAATGCGTCATTGTAGGAGCTCTCCAGAGCGTGGGAATGAAAAATGAGAGAAGGGTGAAGAATGAGTTTAAATCCCAGATCCGCACTAGCCAATGATTCAAATGATTCAAATCCGCACCAGCGCTAAAACGTTTGGCATTTCTTTTTATGGATCTCAGCTTTTCGAGCTGTTGCCATTATACCCGAGGTGGTGCCTGAGACCTCCGTTAGAAGTTCAAGTCACTGGTTGGTCGCATCGATGGTGTCGCCAACAATATCGATTACCCGTAGGCTGCATTTTGAGTCATAAGACATGTTGCGAATCAGGCGCATTATGTCACCAGGAGAATCTCCTGATGTTCAGGTGTGGCCGAACATGTTTGCTTTTCTGTGTGACTGGCCAAGGTCGTAACCAAGACGTGCTCACGTGTATCAGTGGTGGCGATTGTGGTTCAGTCCCGCGTACTTTACCCGCCGCCTGGCAATTTCATAGGGGTCTATGAGCTGACGATGCCTGCTAGACAACGTTTCCCACGTGATTATTCGTTAAGTTCGTAGGTATATAACCAGGAGTCGTCCACTGGGCGCCGACTTTAGATGCCCCTGGTTCGAGGTTCACTGCGCTCAGTTGGCGACTGTGGCCTTGTGTATCAAGACTGTTGCTGTTTCTGAAGGCGGCACTGTCGCGTCGTCCGTTTCCATCTCTGACCTCAGTCCCGCCCTCAGATAAACGCACCCTCCCTGTTTATGGAGAGCATGAGCAATGACTTACAGCGCCCTTCGTCTTCTCTGCTAGACGGGGGCCAAGCGGTCATTCAAACGCGAAAAACATTAATTAAGCATACAGTTGCACGGGTCCTTCTTTCTTGTTCTTCGAAGGAAAAGTCCTTCGAAAACCAAGAAACTGGGCATGCCCATCACAGGGACGGCATGTCACGACAGCCTGCGGCGTTGCCAAAAGACCACGAACGCCACGTCTCCCAAGCGTGAGATTGGCGGCAGGGCATGGTCTGTGACATGGCCAGGAGGCGTTGCGAGTCTCTGAAGCGTGGCCTGGTGCTGACCTGAACGCCACAGCTCGAGAAGGCCATGGTCCCGCGGTGCCGCAATGAAGATAGACGCTCCGTCTATTGGCATGTCCAGCGCCTACTCAGATCCACCTGCAATCCCCCAGCTGATCGGTTTTGTGCTTGCTAGTTTTCGAAGTGTTTCCATGGCAGAGTAGGCTATGCTGTCTATAATAAATCAAGCTCGTGCGATTTGCTGCTTCCAACATCTCTCGCTCGATGTGCGGGGCGCCTTTCTTTGCCCCGGCGGGTGTATTTTACGGAGTGGCCGGACACTGTCTTAGAATGATGGTCTCAATCCCAATAAATGTCTCAGATCCACCCCTCGTACCGATCGTGTCTATGTGTCTGCAGTTTGAATTCACGGTAGCCGTGGGGTTTCCGCACGTCATGCCTCCCCCGCGGAAGAGAAGCTAATGCCGCTATCCAACACGTCAAGGCGTTTATTCGGATTACGACTACATTCATACGCTGTGGGCTGCGAGACGCTGCACCCGGTCGGCTGCGGACAGAGCAGCTCGATCCCCAGCGTGTCCCCCGCGACGGGGACGCGAACGCGGCCCACGCCGGCTCAGAGCTTAGCGTTCACATGGATGGCCACCATAGGGTCCTCGTCGCCGCCGCCGATGCTGATGTTGGCCTTGCCGTCGCAGCCGACGGTGATGGTCTTGCCGGTGCAGCCGCTGCCGTCCTTGTTGCCGGAGATGACGTCGCAGTAGGAGCCGGCCGGCAGCGAGGTCTGCAGCGACTGGTTCATGTCCGAGCCCTGGTTGTTGATGGCGATGAAGGCCTTGCCCTTGCGTGCGAACGCGATCTGCTGGTCGCTGTTGCTCCACCAGTCGGAGACGCCGGCGCCGACGGCCGCGTCCCGGAAGGCGACCATGTTGTAGATCTGACGCCAGCGGTGCTCGCACACCCAGCCGCCACCGCACGTGCCGTCGGCGTTGATGGTCGGGCCGACGATGTTGCCGTTGCCGTCGGAGGGCGGGCCCTGGTCGTGCGAGTCGAACGCGTAGCTGCTCATGATGCGCGGGAAGGCGTACGGCTGCGCCATGACGAACGCCTGCGCCATCTTATAGAGGCGCGACTCTTTGTAGGTGATGACGGTGCCGCCGGCGTCGCGCTGGTTGTCGTGGTTGTCGACGAACACCAGCGCCTGGTTGTCGGGCAGCATGCCCCAGCCGGTGCCCCAGTTGCTGGTGGCCGCCAGCTTGTCGCGGCGCCGGAAGATGCGGTTGATGTGGTCGCAGTGGTGGAACTCGGTGACGCGGCCCAGGCCGGTGTAGTCGGTGTTCTTGATCGGCTCGCCGCCGTGGTCGATCACCTCCATGACAATGAACGGCCGGCCGTCGTTCACCGACAGATCGAAGCGGTGCTTGGGGTCGGCGCTGACGCGCAGGCTGCTGAAGATCGCCTGCAGGTCGCCTGGCCACATGTGCTTGGCGGCGTCCATCCGGAAGCCCGCCACGCCCAGGGAGAGCAGGTGGTTGAGGTACTCGCGGATCTTACCGCGCACGTAGTCGGTGCCCTGGTTGAGGTCGCGCAGCCCGCTCAGTCGGCAGTTGCGCACCTGGTTGGCGTCCTGGTAGTTGTCGATGTTGCCGTCGGGGCTGTGGCAATTGTTGTCGTTGAAGTCGTTGTGCCCGTACGGCACGCCCGGGTACTGCTCGCCGTTGGTGTCGTAGTGCGAGCCGCCGGTGCCGCTGCCGCTGCCGCCGCCCGTCATGTGGTTGACCACCACGTCCACGTAGATGCGCACGCCGACGGCGTTGCAGCGCGCTACCATGTCGCGCATCTCGTCCTCGCTGCCGGAGCGCGACACCAGCTGGTAGGAGACGGGCTGGTAGCGCTCCCACCAAGGTCGGCCGCCGCCTATGATGCACTCATGCGGCGGCGAGATCTGCACGCCGGCGTAGCCCTTGGGACCGAGGAAGCGCTCGCACTCGTCGGCAATGTCGCTGAACTTCCATTCGAACAGGTGTACCATCGCCTGGCGGTCGGGGTCGTTGTGCGGGTCGTACTGCGCGCGCGCCGCCGCCAGCAGGCCCAGGAGCAACGCGAGAGGCGACATGGTGGCGCTGTGCTGCGCGGCCCCGCACTCGCGCCGCTTTTATGGGGCGCGGCGCGCCGCCCACCGCCGCGCCCCGCCCATCGCCGCGCCCGCCGGTTCCCACGCGCCGGGGCGGGACTGCTGATAGGCACCGGCCGGACGTTTGCGTCCCGCGAACGCGCGTGGCTGGGGGTGCGGCAGCTTCCCGGGCACTGGTAAACGGCGGATGCTGGCCGGCCACCGTGGCGGCCGGGTGCTGCCAACTCTGGAGGCGCTCGGTCGATTGGCACCGATCCCGGGGTGCTGCGCGCTCGCGCTGCGTCGTCGGCCGGCTCGCCGCGCCGCACGCTGCGCAGTACGAGCCTGGGACAAGGGGCGGCACGGACTAACGTGTTACAGGCACGGACTAACGTGTTACAGGCACGGACTAACGTGTCACAGGCACGGACTAACGTGTTACGGGCACGGACTAACGTGTTACAGGCACGGACTAACGTGTCACAGGCACGGACTAACGTGTCACAGGCACGGATAAACGTGTTACGGGCACGGACTAACGTGTTACGGGCACGGACTAAACGTGTTACGGACACGGACTAACGTGTCACAGGCACGGACTAACGTGTTACAGGCACGGACTAACGTGTCACAGGCACGGATAAACGTGTTACGGGCACGGACTAACGTGTCACAGGCACGGACTAACGTGTTACAGGCACGGACTAACGTGTCACAGGCACGGACTAACGTGTCACAGGCACGGATAAACGTGTTACGGGCACGGACTAACGTGTTACGGGCACGGACTAACGTGTCACAGGCGCGGATAAACGCGTTACGGGCACGGACTAACGTGTTACAGGCACGGACTAACGTGTCACAGGCACGGACTAACGTGTTACGGGCACGGACTAACGTGTTACAGGCACGGACTAACGTGTCACAGGCACGGGCTTACGTGTCACAGGCACGGATAAACGCGTTACAGGCACGGACTAACGTGTTACAGGCACGGGCTAACGTGTCACAGGCACGGATAAACGCGTTACAGGCGAGTAAAACACTGGAGCACCACTCTCGAGGTTGCCGGGCGCCCGAGGACGCCCGTTACAGGCTGTAGAAGTGCGGATTTCTGCGAGACCCATTGGACAATATTTAGTTGTTTCTAGTGTCCGCGCCTTTCATTTTGTGCCGGCTTTCGGTGTGATCTACTTGCAGAAGAGTTGACAAAGTTCACACAGTGCGATAAGATTGGCAGCAACCTTATTCCGAGTAATGTAATCGACCATTGTGTGGTTGATTTAGTTGTTTTCAGTTACTGTAGGTAGCCTAGATCCCGTGTTTAGTTAGTTTCATGTAGTTTTCAAGGCCCGTGAGGCATCGGTAAGAACTCCATTATGTGCGCGCCGTAAACAGACAGTTGATTCTTTTCGCTCAAATAATCGCCAAGTCGCTTGGTTATCGTCTTGGTAGCCCTGTCAGGCTGGAAGTGGTCATCACTTGCCGGTAATGGGTTGATGCAGCACTGGTGCTGTCAGCGACAGTTTGTCAATGTCAAAATACAGCATAAACAGTTAGGAGCGGCATTCACAACTGAAACCCTTTGTGAAGGGTTTTTGCTTTCATACCAGCAGGACAGTCTCGCGCGAAGTGGGACGAGCGAGGGTGTCACAGTTGTTGAACTTGTCTGCTGTTGCAATGAAGATGAAGAATTTATTTTCTATCTATCTGTCTATCTAGCTATGTATCGTCTGTAATCAATGATGCTGGTTATTCTCCAAGAAATAAGGCCATTAGTGCTGTCTTATCAATGTCAGTAATGTTCCTCGCAAATGCACTGAACAAGTTACGTAAGGTGAAGAATTTGTTTGCATTTTTGACATTCGAAGAATTTGAAGAATGTTGTAATGAAGATGGAGGGTGCAAGTTTTCACAATGGGGGCCAAGCAATCGAGAACAACTAAAAGAATCACTTCAACCGAGTTGTGTGCGCCACGTGCGCGCTAAATGCTTTGGGTGCTGTCAAACAACATCGCATATTCTCAATCTTGCTTTTACGTGCGTTTACCTGAAAGTGTTTCTGTCAATGTTAGTTAGGTATCTATTAACCATCGCCGTAATGCGCCGTTTTTTCATGGCGCATACCGATCGGTGATTTATTACCAAAACATTACCGGCCGACTTCACTTTTTCGAGCATCATCATTTTCAACAGCGCAAGGAAGTAGTACCCATCAAAGAGTCCTGACCTCTCAAGGTTATCCTTTAAGGTAAAATACAGGCTCAAACTCCAAGCCACCAGACAATTTCTGGGCGATTTCAGATATCCATATCTAAAAAAATACCGGCTAAATTCAACTTTTATGTTTAGTTTCCCGTCCACGCACGGGCGGGCGGGCGGTTGGATTCCCTCCTCTCGGCTGGGGGTCAATTTGACATCCTGAGGTCTCAGGAACTAAGAGAGCTAGAGACATAACATTCACAGGGTGTGTTGGCCTGTACATGAACCAACTTAGGTCAAAGGTTGAGGTTACTAGGTCATGACCTTCGGGTCAAATAAGGTCAAACAAGGTCAAATTCCAAGTCGGTGCACCTAGTGCACCAAAGTGCACCTAGAACCTACCCAACTGCTCCAAAGAAAAAAAAAACATTATCATTCAAAGTCAGTGGCCTTGTTCAACCTTTTAAGGACATGGTGACAAAAATAATACATGACTGCTTTAAGTTTTGCATTTGAATAAACGACAGAGATGACGATTCCAAGGATGTTCCTAAATAGCAAATGTTGATCTGGATCATTTTAGGTTAGTGACCTATTATGACATTGAAGATTTTCATAGAACATGAATGATGCGGTTCCTATCATCGATCAATTCGAAATAAGCGCCTCAAACTACCTCATACAGCTGACTGGAGTAACAAGCAGGTTGGTTTAGACATCAGTCTTACTTTCATGCCTCACCCTAGGCCCATGAAACTCGTTCGTGCAATTGTTGTGTTGCCTAAGAAAGTGCCACAGAGCTGAATGGCTTCGTCCAGCACTCCGTTGTTGCATCAGATTGAACGATTCCCTAGAAATTGACTTTGCTGAATCCATGGCTAACTTTGACCTGTCGTAGGTCAGTGACCTTTCAAGGTACATCTGAATTTTTTATACCAAATGATCCACTATTCAATGGTCTAGTTATTCAAAATTTGGCGCCGCTACGCCGTGCCGTTCGGGAACCATTACGGAAAACCTTTCGGGTGGCAAAGTGACCCCCACCCGAGCGCGTAATGTGCGTGCATTTGATCATGAAAGGTGACATTTGAAAACTCGAGATTTTTACGGACGTTGTCTGTTGCTGTGGTGAATGTTATGATGCTTGAAAATTGGAAACTGGCCGGTAATTATTTGATAATATGGAGTTATCCGTCCTGTAAGTCCGACTTAGACCTTGAAAGGTGACATTGAGAGGTCGAACGTTTTGGCAGAAGCTAGTTCATGCGTTAGTGAATATTCTGATGCTTGAAACATTGAAATCGTCCGGTAATTTTTTGGCGATGTGGAGTTCCTTGCTCTGTGAGCCTGAATTCCACTTAGAAAAGTGGTCTTGATTTTACAGGACTGTTTCGTCTTCGGTCGCTTTCATTGTTCAGTTAAACTATAGGCATTTGATCCTTCCCCACGAATGCAATCGTTTATGAATTACCTTGATGTATAGGTGCACCGTCGCCATCTTGTTCGGACTTTCTTTCCCATTGCCATCCCGCCGACTGAGCAGGGTGATCACTCAATCGTATCAGCACTAATAACTTGTAAAGCGCTACTACTGGGACGCCGCGTGGTGGCGCCACCGGCGTCCTGCGGAGTCACACTCCTGTGTGGGATGGCTGCGAGCTGTCGGACTTCACATTTAGATCGCGTGCACTTAAACGTTGTTCATTATTTGTGTTTTATCGTGTCATTGCCGTACCATAGTGGGCCATTCTGTACGCTTCCTCTAACAAGTTCGTTTCCCTACCTCTGAGTCCACTAAATCTGCCTCCTCTCAATTGTTAGCAGAACGGTTCTCCGATAAACAGCGAAAGGCCTTGCTGCATGCCATTCGGGAACATGTCTCGACCGACGAAGTCCGAGAACGCTACCTTCACAAATGCCATCAAGCTGTGAAGTCTGCATTCAAGTCGGATACTATGCGCGTAGGCTCTTGATGTAGATGAAAAGCAATTGATCGCATGGGACCCGTCACAATTCGTTGATGACGCATCGCCACCGCGATGGGCCATAGAAACCCGGGCTACGTTTCCACCCAGGTCTTGCGGGTCTTCCGCAATCGGAGAGTATTACTTCTTCCGCGTGTAACGAACAGGCGAGGCGGGATTGCGATGATGTTGCAGTGTTGCAGGAAAGGCATGTCCGAAGAAACAGCTCGCACGTCAAGCTAGCAACTGATACAACAGGACTGTCAGAGAATCACGCCTCGTGCTGCTAAAAGCTGCATGAACTCGCAAATAATAGTTGGCATTACGTTCAGACATTACGATCAGAAAGCATAACGGCCGGACCAGGCAGCCCGCTCAAATTCGAAAGTCTGAGGGTTTGCTCTTGATCACGTCAGGCCTAGTGTGGATGGACAAGTTCGCTATCGAAGTTCGGTCAGGGGGTTACCCAGCCGTGTCCTCGTCCAGCCCTCGCCTGACGCTGATCTGGGCTCCGGCTGGCTGTATCGGTGAGGAGGAAGCTACTGAAGTGCTAACACGCACGGGCTGGAGCCTATCTCACGGCACCCCGCCGTACGCGCCCGCCGCCGCCGCCAGCTGGGCCGGTCCCAGGCATGACACGGCGGCGTGCTCCCCACTGGTGGAGCGCGCGCCGGCCCACCTATCGCCGCCGGACTGTGAACTCAGCGGGCCGTGGACGTGCTTTCTCGCGGTTGTGGCCACGGCATCCTGTGACTAGATCCGCCTTCAATGCATAAAAACAACTCGCCGAACATTGCCGCCATGACCGCCGGTACAGCTCCCAAGTTGGCACGAGGCGGTACAAGGCCAAGGTGGCGCAAGACACCGCCAATACGTTCGCCAGAACCGAGCGCAATGTCTACGTGAACGCGTGTCGTGGTACTGTGCGGATCACTCCCCCCCCCCCCTCCCTCCACAGAAAAACATGGCACGCTTACACGTACATGGGTGTATTTACAATACCGATGCCTCGATGAAAGCAACATGGCGCCCCAAACTCAGTGTCCAGACCGGTACACTGGGAGCGCTCTACGCATAACGACGGCTGGGGTCATACAGGCGACCCTCAGCCAGGCCACGCAACCTCCACGTGGGCGGGAGACTTCAGCCCGCCCGACCAGCGACGGCCTCGCTGCTGACTGGGGGGGGGGGGGGGGGGGGGGGGCCGGCCGCTGGGCGTCTACACACGAACAGGAGCCGGACCGCCACCGCTAACTGGGGACACTGTCCCCACGCCCCCTGAACGCCACCGGTCCCACCGCTAACTGGGGAGACTGTCCGTACAGCTCCGGAGCGCCACCGGTCCCACCGCTAACTGGGGAGACTGTCCGCACAGCTCCGGAGCGCCACCGGCCCCACCGCTAACTGGGGAAGACCAGCATAACGCCGGAGCACCACCGGCCCCCAACTGGGGAAGGACCAGCACACCACGGGGCGGCACTGGCCCCACCGCTCGCTGCGGAAGGACCAGCAAAGCCCGGAACCCATTCACCGCCGGTCACCGGCGCGAGCTCATGCACACGTCACAAGTGCATCCGACAACCGCCGCTAGCTGACAAGCAGTCGCGCCAGGGGGCCCTCCCGACTACGCAGCGGCAGCAGTCGGCGACCGTTGGTGGGTGACGTCACCGTCCGGCGACGTGACGTCACTGGATCACAGCGCGCCGGTCGGCCGGTCCGGTGGCGCCCGGACGGCGGGCGCGGAGGGCAGGGCGCACTCAGAACCGCAGGTGCGGCTTGAACCGGATCATGAACCTGCAACCAGACGGAAGCGTTGCAGGAGAACAGACCACAATACCAGGCACACTACCGACAGCCAGGATCCTCATCAGCGTGCCAGCGTGCCAGCTGGTACATTCTCGAGCTGCAGATTATGGCAAAATCATTACGCGGAGTATGTGCCGCAAATGCAGGCTGCGTAAGGAATTAATCGCGTATTATCCACACCTCGCATGCGAATAACAAATGATACGGCATGACGGGACTCTGAAAAGTGAATCTGTCACTTCATGTTGGGGAAAGTCTGGCGTGGTCGAGAATAATCAAACAAATCATAACGGGTATCGCACGGTTGATACGCCGGCTATGTCGTTAATCATTTCGCACCACTGGTCATTATTCTGGACTATTGCAAAGATACGCGAATGACGATAACCACCAGAGCGAGCCAGAATAGCCAAATGCCACAGTAACGACGCACTGTAGTTGCGTACCAGCGCTCCAACTGACATTTGCTTCACGTAAAGCATACCGCGACGCATGTGCGAGTGCACTGAGAGCCGCGGAGCACTGATCACCCATCCCGGTATTCCGGCCGCCCCTCCCTTCACGCCGTGCTCCCGCTGGCCCGCGCTCTCCGCGGCTGGCCGGCTCACTTGTCGAGCTTCTCCCAGATGGTCATGAGCGTGGCCCGGTCCAGGTGGCGCTTTGTCTTGGAGAGGTTCAGCACGGTGACGGCCCACTTGGCCACGTTGTTGTCCAGCTTCATCTCGTCCCACTTCAGGTGGAAGGCCTGCACTGTCGACGACCCAACAACACTATCAGTTGGCTGTCATCCCCATTCAAAATGTATACATACACAGCAACAACCGCGCAACGAAATGACCTTGCGTAGCAGATGACGGCACGGACGGTTCCTCATCCTTTCTGGTCTTGCAACGTTACACGCACAGCTGTGAGACATGCAGAAACACGTAACTCCCAGCGCGAAAGACGGCCAGCAAACACAGAGCCGCCGGCTGGCCACCTCCCCAGCCCAGTCAGCACCGCCGCTCAGGGCGGAGGGCCGCGCCGCAGGGCCCACCTTTGGTGAAGATTTCGACGGGGTTGCCGTCCCAGGGCCAGCCCTTGAACTGCCAGGCGGGGCCCATGACGAACACAGCCACCACCCGGTCCCAGTCGGCGTTGGTCAGCTTCGACGGGTGGTCGATCACGCTGAAACGGAGCCGACCGGCGCTCACTCGACCGCGCCGCCGTGGAGACGGAGACCGGGACGGGTCGGTCACGGCCCTCTCACATGCTGAGGGGGGCACTGCCAGCCGCTTCAGTCACGGCCCTCTCGCACGCTGAGAGGGGCACTGCCAGCCGCTTCAGTCACGGCCCTCTCACATGCTGAGAGAGGCACTGCCAGCCGCTTCAGTCACGGCCCTCTCGCACGCTGAGAGGGGCACCGCCAGCCGCTTCAGTCACGGCCCTCTCACATGCTGAGAGAGGCACTGCCAGCCGCTCCAGTCACAGCCCTCTCACACGCTGAGAGGGGCACTGCCTGTCGCTTCAGTCACTACCCTTACACACGCTGAGGGGGGCACTGCTAGCCGCTTCAGTCACGGCCCTTTCACACGCTGAGAGGGGCACTGCCAGCCGCTTCAGTCACGGCCCTTACACACGCTGAGAGAGGCACTGCCAGCCGTTTCAGTCACAGCCCTCTCACACGCTGAGAGGGGGCACTGCCAGCCGCTTCAGTTGATGTCTTAGCAGGGTTGAAGTCAGATGCCATCAGACTTTTTATCACGGATGACTAAGGTTGCTACCGATATGGTAATAACACGGCGCACCGGTACTACCATACTGCAGCGCTTCGGCCCCATTGACGCGTGGGTGGTGCTACAACGGAAAGCGTCCCGCCTCCCTGATCGGCCACAGCTCGGCCACTCCTGCCCAGTCCTCCTCTGCTCAGGTCCCTGCCCCGTCCCCATCCCTGAGCGGCCTCACTGTCCCCGCCCAGTCCCGTCCCTGACCTGGCCAACTGTTCCTGCCCAGGTCCCCATCCAGTCCTCGTCCCTGACCGGTCCCGTTCATGTCCAGTCCCGTACTTGACCAGTCTCGTCCCTGACCGGTCCCATTGTCCGTTCCCAGTTCCCGTCCCTGCTCAGGCCCTGCCCAGCCCCCGTCCCTCACCGGTCCCATTGTCCCTGGCAAATCTCCGTCGCTAACCTGTCCAACTGTCCCTGTTCATGTCCCTGCCCGTTCCTGGCCAGTCCCTCTGCCCCTTCCAAACCCCCGTCCCTAACCGGCTCCACTGTCCTTGCCCAGTTTTCGTCCCTGACCGATCTCACTGTCCCTGCCCAGTCCCCGTCGCTGATCGGTCCCGCTATCCCAGTCCAGTTCCCGTCACTGGACTGTCCCAGCCCACTCCCTGTCCCTGCCCTGTCCCCCTCTGCCCGGTCTCCGTCCCGGGGGGCCGACTCACCGGTAAGGCACTGTCTGGCCCGCCGCCTTCTGCCGCTGGATCAGCAGGTCGTTCTCACGCTTGAAGCCCTGTTTTCGTTTCTCCTCCGACGACACGTACCTGGCGGAGGAGACGTGGCCGACGATGACACCCCGCTTTCAACATCGGGCGAATGGTATAAAGCCACGCATTAAAAATTTGAAAAACGAACCGCGCGTCGACAAGGCACGTGAAATATGAAGAAAATCGCCTCGGAGTTGTGGGAAGCAGATATGCAAGTGGCCATGAGATAATGCGGGCTACTCGTCAATGTGTGTCCCATTCAGACCCCTTACACCGGGAAGAGCGGCTGAGCATCACCCGATAAGCCGTCGGCGTACCCGCATCTGAAGCCGTACCATCCAAACACAGATAAATAGCACGCCAGCTGTTCGGTGTACACACATGGTAGTGGTTCTGCGCAACAGCGAACGTGGCGGATCACCTGCACTTGCACTAAGCCTTGCGACAATGGTTGCATTATACCACCCTAAAATCTGAACTGGCGACATATGCATCGATGGGTGTCAATGTGCATACAAAAAACCTAACTATATTGACCGTGTGATGCATTTAAAAACATGTTTGAAAAAGTCAGTAGTCCACTGGACAGGCCGCCACACCACTCGTTTCACCGGACAGCCGAGAATGCTACTGCGTCGCGGCATGGCGAAAGTGTCAACTACTATGTCATGATGAAAGACAGACGTCGACGCTTATAGCATAGTTGCGCCAAGTCATGCCAGCCGCGCGATGTCCACGACACGCTGCGGGCTGCGCACGGTCCCCGGAGGCCCGGGGCGGCCCGCACTCACTTGAGGTCCTGCAGCAGCTCCTTAACGTTGTACATGCTGATGATGGAGGAGGGGGCGGCCGGGATGATGATGATGGGAGTCCGTGAGACGCGCTTGCTGCTCTGGGGCGAGGCCGCCGCCCGCTGCGGGCCGCGGAGAGCGGGTCAGCACGGCGCCGGCGGAGGGAAAGGCGGCGGTCAGACGGCGCGCACCGGGGGAGGGGGAGACGGCGGTCAGACGGCGCGCACCGACCGCCGAGCAAACCGGCCTGGGCGCGAACGGAAAGCCGCGGCGGTCGGCCAGAAACTGAAGCGGACATTCGCGTGACAACAAACACAACAAAACGAGAAGACCTCCGGTAGAACACCCACCGCACGCGCTCCCGCAGGACCAATCACTGCAACACACCTTCCCAGTGTACACGTCCCAGCGGCGGTTATGCAACTCCCCTTCTCCGGGAGCACAGCTCCTGCCCACCCCGCGCGCCTGCCCGAGCCCCAGGCGCCGGGCGCGGGCCTGCCTCGCACCTGGATCTGCACGTTGGACTGCGACGCCTGCGGCGGCGCCTTGCGCGGCTGCGAGCCCTCCGTCACCGACTTAAGCGTCATGCCGTGGTAGGTGCCCATGGTGTCGATCTTGAAGCCCTCCGTCTCCTCCTTGCCCTGGAAGCGCTCCTGGTCGTAGCGACTGTACGGGGTGGGGTTGGGCCGGGCGGGGGCCACGGCCGGCCGCTGCGGCGGCGCCGCGCTGACGGCGGCCGCCGCCGGCGCCGGCGGGCCCGACGGCTTGTGACGACCCTCCTCGCGCGCCCGCAGCGACTGCAGCAGGCCGAAGATGTTCTTGGCGAAGTTCTGTAACCGAAGCGCGCCGGGTCAGTCGGGGCTGAGCCAGCTGGTCGGAGGCTGACAACGTCAGGGACCAGGCCGGTCTCAGTGTACACTGGACGGTCGTGTGTAAGGCTGTAGTTGTCAATGTGAGGTTGCCGAGATCATGGCGAGTTGTCCCGGCAGACGGTAAGGGGCTTCACCGCTGGCTGACTTCAAGGAACGCTTGACAGCTTGACAACCGCACCCACGCAGTCACACGTTTGGTGTCTATCAATTGGCAGGGAGCTTTGTGCTATTGGCTCACCAGGCAGGTTCGTAATACCCGGAAGCAGCACATCAAGATGAGTTGCAGCACGTGCCATTACCAAGAACCCCCACCCGAACCCCTAGGAGCTCACCCCTGACCCGAACCCCGACAGCTGACCCCTGACCCGAGCCCCGGACGCAGGCCCCTGAATCGAGCCCCGGGGAGCTGACCGCTGACCCGAATTCAGGGAGCCTGCCTCCTGACGCTCGAACCGGGCCCCGTTCGCTATCAGCCGACCTTGCCGGTGCTCTGCAGGATGGTGGTGCGGGTCCGCCACTGTCGCTCCCGGCCGATGATGTCCTTGGTCACGTCAATGTCGAACTCCAGCATACCTGCGCCGGAGGAGGCGGCCTCAGGCTGCCGCTCCTGGCTACTGCTCATCGCGCCGCCACTTGGCACGTGGCCACCAATGGCAACACCCTACAGTGGCGGCTCTCGCAACAACAGGCAAACCAGGGAGTTACGAAGCGTCGCCCTCATGACAGCTGTAGCCAACAGATCACTTTAATTTGGTGAACGATCTACGGTCGAAAACAAATACTCCTTTTTACGGGCACAAGAGGAAGAAAACTGAGTTGCGTCCATGAAGTCGAATCCGAAATACTGTGTCGAATCCATCGCTGTAAAAACTTCACACAAGCACACACACCTTTTAACTCTCCGCCAACGCCAATGTCGTCGTTTGCCTTGATTCTTGTCCGCTTGTTGGCCATTCGTTTCGCCTTGATTTCAGCAATTTTCTCGACAGACATCGTCTCTGAGAGGGATCTGGGCGGGAACAGCATGACAAAGGCCGGTCAAATACGTCCATGCAATCGAATACAAGGGCTGGTCAATATCCGTTCATATTTAAAAGGAATGTTGCGCGTTCGCCATAAACCAGCATTCGGCAACGGGAAAGTGTACCACTAGACCACACCTTGCACACGTGCCTCCGCTGGTTCACGAATACCCACGTGAGTCAATGACAGCAGCTGCAAGAACAAAAGCATCTCCGCACTGTCATTAACGTTCAACTAGAATCCAACACGAATCATTACGACCATCGTGCCTGATGTGACCAGCCCATCGCGTCTCACGAAAGGCCAGATCATCCCCGCCAGCGGCACCACCCTCTCCATCCGTTTTCAGTCCAGGCCAGCAGCCTCGTCAGGAGCACCCGCCCCCACCAGCCGCCGCAGCGGCCTCGCCTCACTTGAGCGTGTCGAGCCGTACAGATGTCTCCTTGGAGGCGTCGAGGCGCGCGGCCAGCTGCTGCTTCTTGGCCTTCAGCAGGTCGCCGTCGATCCTGGGCTTCTTGGCAGAGGCCTCGCCCTGGTCCTCGGCGGTGCGCTTCACCTGGGGCGAGCAGAGCAGGCGGTGGGCACCCCGCCCACACACAAAGTACCGCTGTGCCCGGCGGGGGGGGGGGGGGGGGGCGCTTTGGATGCGACGACGAGCCTTTGACAGAAACACGGCAGTGTCTGAGCTTTGGAAACTGAGCTCATGAGTAAACGTACACGTACGGTGCGCAAGCGTGTGATGCTCTGTCGGAGCATAACGCACAAGGCGGCGGCCCGTACCATCAGTTCCGTTCCACTCACCTGTGTGGGGATCTCCAGAGGAGCTGACTTGTCGATGCTCGCCGAGCTGGACGTGTCGCCATTAAGGTAAGACAGCAGCTCTTTTCTGTCTGGCCGGCGCACCACAGGGATATTCTCTGCCTGAACACAAACATAGCATACAGTGTGAACGTCAGAGAACACACATTGCCTTGAGGGTATAACACTGAGACGCCGCTTATTTACCGACAGACCAAGGCGAATCACGACCAGAAAACACCGTATTTGATGGTCTCATGCAAAATCTGGTAACATATTACGATGGCTACCATTCCAATCCGTCAAAGCGCACGGACCACTGTACAGGCTATCTGTGCGTTTTGAAGGGAAACCAGAGATGACACACACACAGGCTATCTGTGTGAGCGGGTACAGCGCCGCCGTCGGAGGCTGCGTCGAGCTCACGCTCCGCGCGAGTTCAGCCCGGGCGGCCGATCAGGGGCGGGCAGCCGTGACCGACCGACGCGCACACGTCAGCTCCAGGGGGGCGCGGGTCTGTCGAGCAGCGCGCGGCGCACGGCCACATCGGAGACGGACGCGAGGCGGGGCGGGGCGGAGTGCCACCCCGTGCCGATGACGGTGGTGCACCCGCTCAGGAGCGAGACAATGGCAACCATAGGGACCAGACGCTGGTGAGCGCGGCCGGTGCCTCTCACGGGCGGCCTGAAGATCAGCGGTATCACCCACATCCGACGCCGCGCACACTTCTGAAGCTTGCTTTGTGGACGTCCTCCGCGGCAACAGCGATTACTTGGACCCGAAAACATGCTTCTAACATTACACATGTGCCTCTTAAATCTGGCTAGCATCAGACATTTTGAGACCGGCCTGCCCGTAGCATAGTATGATAACACAACACAAGAGCATTCACAGTGGGTTCCTCCTTCCACATAGCTTTGTACCAGCGCTCTTCATGCAGGAAAAAGCAGTATCTCCATTTCAATTTAGGTCTCACGTCGACCTATCCCAGGTCACGCGGCACTCGGCGTAGCGTTATGGGCCAAGTTGCAAACCCAGCCAATGTCTTCCATAAAGCCGTGGAGCATAGGAAAAGGGCAGCTCTTATGCCCACACCAAATTTCATTTTCAAGTCATTCATAAAAAGGGCATCTCAGTGAAGTCAGTCATTATTCACTTCAAACATGTTCGCATCACGTAAAAACGAAGTATGTGTTCGTTCATTCATTCTCTGGATCTAGATCCCAATTTTGAATAGCAAACACATCCATACAACAAAACATTGCTGGAAAAAGAGGACCGAACAAACGCTGCGATTTTACGATTCCATTCCGACCTTTAAAGCCGCGCCTACCACACTTGCCCGAAATTCAAAAAAGTGATGCATGCGAGATGTGATCCCACACAGTGCAAAGTCAACATTTCAAACCAAGCGCACTTGGCAGCAAGCCCATCTGTCAGGAGCCATACTTACCGCTGCCTGCCGCACGTATACTGGATGTGTGACGTGCACATTTTAAGCAAGAACAGCAGGCACTCCATGGTGTAATACTCCTTGGTCTGGCCATCTTTGCCGGATCTGCAATTGAAAGTAGTGTCCCATTCAGTACAACGCTGGTGGCGCTCGGACACGGCAGTGCAGACACTTGAATTCACGCGCCATTCCACGGTGTGTCTTTTTGCTTGCATTAACGAAACATAACATAGCATAAGGCACCACATAGTACCATAGGTTGCCATCTGCAGGAAACAAGGAAGTCAGGCCTGTGACAAAAAATACTTAGATAAGGTGCAGAAACTGTATCATTCGGGCTTAATGTCGCACTCAGCTGCTGGGGCTACATGGCGTTGCCTGCCTCTCACCCTGGCAGGGAGAGCGGGCATCGCGGGGAATCGAGCCCCGTACCTCCGGCTTCCCACACGCGTTAACGCAGACGCGTTAACCACTACACTTCCCGCACCCCAAGGTGCAGAAGCTAAAACACACCACCTTGAATAATATGATATGCATATTCTGGTTGTTGAGGGGCATCCTGGCCAGAAAAGTAGAATAAAAAAATATATGTGTACACAGTATGTGTGGACACAGTTACATATGGCTTATGGTTGGCTACACATGACATCTGTACCTGGTGCAGGTCAATCCCCTGTGGTCGACTGGCTGACTGTCATTCACTGCCTCTGACCTACATGATATCAATGACACTCACATAGAGTGTGTGGTGACTTTTCGCCACGCGTGGTTAGCTGACATTAAGACCCCAGTTAGACGGCTCTGGCTGTCACTGGCCTCCAACAGTCGAGAGTGAAGAGAGCACACAGTTGCTGACTGCAGTGTTCAGTGCTGATTTTCTTGAGCTCAGCTTAAGGGATAAGTATCAAGATGAGAGGAAAAGAAGAAGCCACAAGGAAGAGTTTTTAACAGCTGTGATTGATCGGTGGCAGTTATTTTCATCACTATGTTGTTCTTAAACCTGGCAGCAGCCAGTGCCAGGCTGGGGCGGACCCCGAGTTTCGCCAGGGGGGGGGGGGGGGAAGGGGTGTGCAACATTGTGGGGCCGCCAGAGTTTAACCCCCCCCCCCCCCCCCCCCACTCCCCGCGGCAAACAAATTATGCATTCCGGCTATAAGATTTTAAGCTTCTCATTACGCCATTTTTACACAGGAAACCATCTTAACGTGCACAGCCAAATAAAAATAGACGTGCTGCATATGCACAAACATGGAGCTTACCAATTTTTCTTCAGATCATGATAAATCTTGACCTTTTGAGGCAAAGTTTTTCTCGGAAAACATGGAATTACAGCTAGCCGGCTGGCTGATGTGATCAGCTGATAGCTGATAAGTAATGCAGAGTTTTTGCTTTGTTTGTTACAAAGGGGTACAAATACCCTAGCATCTAAAATGTATCAAAAACGTGATGCACCAGTATCGGAAATGACACATACAACGAAGGCGGCACGTAAAGTTTTGTTCGACAACTGCGCGCAAAAATTCATCCATGCGTATTCGACTGCAACTCTAAGGCTAAGGCACCAAGGCCAATAGGGACAGAGCCTGAGCGATCATTGGATGCCGTGGCAGGCCAACAAAGATACTCTCGTTAACAGATAAAGGGTCCTCAGCGCAAGCGAGGGGAGCCCAAGACTACCATGGCGGGTCCCTGGGCGATCAGAAGTGTCCCGGCAGGCTGTCAAATAGGGCCTCGGCCAGAGCACAGGGCCCTCTGAGCACCCAAGACCAGTGTACGTGAGTTAATGCCGCTGTGCGGCCAAGAATGCGGGTTAGCAGAAAGGGCCGCGATAGGAGTGAAGGGTCCTCCGCAACGAGATCAAAGGAAAAGAGCCTTAGATCAATGCAAAGTGCCCCTGAACATCGAGCGGCTCGGTGCCTCACCTTATATGAACCCCTGCAACAGCCCAAGACCATATGAGCAAGTGGGAAGAACCCACGACTTATATGAAGGGCCCCTGAGCAACAAAGTGTACCCCGGTGTATAAGGCCCCGACAAAAGCGCATAAGGCCTTTCGGGCGAATGGGAAGAATCCGTGGAGGGCCTCTGATCAATCAAGAGTGCCCAAGCATGTCAGCGGGTAGTGCCCCAATAGCAGCGCAGGGCCCTACGAGAAAATGCAAAACAATCAGGGGCAACGTGGAAGGCTCCTTAGCGAACAGATTGACCTGCAAAGTGAAGATATAAGGACCTGACAGCAGCGTAACGCCTCTTGACAGCGTAATGAGCCTTAAAACATCCCCCAATCACCACCCTCTCGATCAGCGAATAATTAACATTGACTGTTCACAGGCTCTTCACTTTCCCTTGTGACTGCTCTTGTTCCTCTAGAGGCTCAAACACGTAAACACGCCCAGTTTTTTTTCATTGGAAAACTGCGTCCATTCGGCCAGTCATGGGCACCTTCAGAGCCTGTGGGTTCCCTTGGGACACGGGGGGGGGGGCATGATTCTGTGCTCCCACCCTCTGGATCCGCCACTAGCCCGAGAAGTTTAATAAATGGGGCCCAGCAAAAACACAGGGCCATCCATTCAAATAGCCAGTACCCAAATCCCAATGTGAAAGATACCCAAGTGCTTGAGTTTGTGCAAGCAGGTTAACAGAAAGGGCCCTCTAAAACAGCACAGGGCCCTCCATTCAAAAATATGAAGTACCCAAGACTCCATGTAGAGGGTCTGAAACTATTCAGTGTGCCCAAGCAGTTACACAGATAAGGCCCCCAACAAGAGCAAAAGGACCCCTCCATTCAAATAAGAAATGCTCTCAATACAGTGTAGAGGGCCCAAACGATTGAGGGTACGCAAGGAGCTTATCAGATAGGGCTCCCAACAAGAGCATAGGGCTCTCCATTCTAAAGCAGTACCCAGGACCCAGTGCGGATGACCCCTAAAGGTCCAGTGCACCCAAGCTGACTCAGATGGTTCCCAACATGAACATAGGGAGCTACATTCAAATACCAAACTCAATGAGCAGGGCCCTCAAACAATCCAGTGTGCGTGAACAGGTTAATTTGGAGGACTCAGAATGACTGAGTGTGCCCAAGCAGGTTCACAGACAGGCCTTCAACAAGAGAAAAGGGCCATAAGCAAGTGACAGAGAATTGGAAGGGCCCTAGACCAATGTGGAGGGCCTCTGGGTATATCATGAGTGTGAGACTACACTGGCAACATGTTTATTTGAAAGCCCTTTTAGTGGGCAGATGACACCAAATTCTACATGGCCAATGAAACCAAATGTCACAAGCTGCTTGATGAAATTTTGTATTGGGCTCCAAGTTCCACAAACTGGTGATGACTGCCACATCAGCTTATGGTTACCAACCAAGAAGCTGGTCATCACAGTGCCCTGAGTTCAGCACATTCACAAGGACAACTGCTATTATGATTGCATGATATGAGCCATATGACCAAGGTTTCCAGAACATGACACAAACAGCCTCACAAATGGGGATTATGGTCATGCTACCACATGGCTACCCATTCATTAAAATGTCACTGTGTAGACCTAAAATCACAATGTTTACCCCAGCTCTGGACATTGCATCTGTGGAGTTGAATAATGAAGGTTATAGCCAAAAAATTCCACTAGTTTCTGATAACAGAGGATGATGCTGAGGACTTGCTGAGGATAGTACAGTCTTATATGAACACTCGACTAGCGTTGCATTTATGATCTCAGTACACAATGTGATTATATATTATTGTCATTTGGGCTAGTGACTGCAGACCAGGACAGGTGTACTGCACTGAGGACATGATTCACCTATCATTTTAAATACAAATTAAATAATTTATTGGCTATCACCACACTTACACATTACAATAGCTTCAATAGCCACAACATAATGTTGTGAAGAGGCACAGGAAATGAGTTAGATGATACAGATTATGTACTCTGCACTGTGCATGCTAAGCAGATTGTGTTGTCAGAAATGAGTTATCATGCCACATTAGTTTGAAGCTGTGCTGACCAGAAATCAGTATAAGCAAGGTGCAGCAGCATATGGTACCCTCCATCATAATGCTGGTGTCAGCCATAACATATATTGCTATTACTCAAAAATAATGTTCAAGCTCATGTAAAATCAGCAACAAGCTGAACACATCCTCACTTCTAAGATCACTGCATCCATGCAACCAAAAACTATTAAAAATGCATTATGGCTACCATGGTGACAACAACAGTGACATCAAGGCCAAAAATTTCAATGATATAACTTGAGCAATAACATAAAAACAAGACATATATACACCATAGAGATGGGACGATGCACTTAATATGAAAGCAGGAATGTCACAAATTCCCACAAATAACTAAATGTTAAGATTAAGTGTAGTTAGGAGTCACCATTTAATAGAGGACAGTTAATATTCCAAAGCAACACTGGCATGGCACTAGTGTGACTGAAAGGAATGTTTCTACCCCACCTTCATGGGATATTAGTCATGATTTTAATTTATGAAAATAACTAAGGTCAATAATAAGGGTCAATAAGAGCACAACATACATCAGCTTTCCTCCAAGCGCCACGTTCGTCTGAACTCAACTTACCCCCAAACCAGATAGTTCGTATTCACTGATTTCGGAAACGAAAATTCCCCAAAGACGATATTACTATCTCGCTCAATAATCTCTTTTTTGTTGACATTATACTGCCTTAGAAGGCTCAATGGGTCTGCCATTATTGCACAATGTGAAACCACCCCACGCCACCAATCGCGCCGCACCAAGGTTGTGTATAAATAACAGCTGCGCTGTTTCTCCAAGAGAACTCTTCTTTTTTTGCTTTGGACCAGCAGCTGAGGCAAGGTATAACATTGTTATAACGCCATAAAGCATAACAATGTATCACGATCATGGGCGTCACTTCACATACGTTCGGGAGGGCGAGCCTGAGCCCCCACTGCTGACCTGAGCTTCTCAATGCTCCTCTATGACCCTTCAAGGCATATAAGCAAAAAGGGGGCACTGGGTCGAAAACCACCACAACCACGGTTGTGTGACAAGTATACCCACCAATGTTGAAGCAAACACGGGGTAACTTTAATCTGGGTAACCCATATAAGCAGGTGCATTCCCCAGACAGATGTTCTTTGGCCCAATCCAGATGTTATCATTCGAAAAAAACTTCTCAAATACGTTCAGAATGGCCTTACATATGAAGGAGTTGGCTTCACAAAAAGGTTGGATGCTTGCAGGATACCATTTGGTGCAAAGTTGACATCGTGCTTATAATGATGTGCCCAGGTAGCTTAAGCGTAGAAAATTCATACACTAAAGTTACCTGGACACATCACTATTAGCACGATGTCAACTTTGTACCAAATGGTATCCTGCAAGGATCCAACCTTTTTGTGAAACCAACTCCTTCAGGTGTAAGGCCATTCTGAAAATATTTGAGATTTTCCTTTCGAATGAGAACATCTGGATTGGGCTAAAGAACAACTACCTGCAGAATGCGACTGCTTATGCGAGTTGCCCAGATTAAAGTCACCCCGTGCTTACTTCAACATTGGTAAGTGCCTTTGTGACACAATTGTAGTTTTGGTGGTTTTCGACCGTCAATTGAATGGCAAAACACGGTAAACGACAGCAGCAATAGTCATCAGTGAAACAGCTCAGCCGGTTGCAGGTAATCGATCGTCCAATCGATTGTCCACGGTGATGCATCCCATCTTAAGCCTGAGGGTGGCCCTGAGGTTTTGAAGGTTGTTTGCTTATGCACGTAGACGCGGTCTTCAGGTTGCCACACTCTATGAAGTCCAGAGGTGACAGGTCGGGTGAGATCGAAGCCCCCCCCCCCCCCCACAGCAGTCTTAAGCTGGTGCGCATGCCAGCGGAATGGTTTTGGGCGCAATCCAGTGAATCTTGTGCCGCGCGCGGCGTCGCCTCGTTCCGCTGGAGCCACTTCTCGTCCCGGTCGGTCCTGCGAAGTCGCCTCAAAGCCGCCCAGAAGGATATCAGAGCGGTAGTAGCGTGCTGAGATCGTGTTGACAAGGTGCCTGTTTTTGTCCTCAAAGGGGTGTCTTCTGTAGTTATGAATTGACGCATGTCAGACCACTGACAAATGCCATAATTTTTTACCACCTTTTGCCGTTGAGTGGTGATTCGAATGCCACCGCAGTCTTGATTTTGCAAGGAACATACTTACCACTGTTAAGTGAAACGGGAGCTCACTTTTACCTGGTCCTGGTCCCGTCAGTGACCCGTGTATCCATTCTAACGGAAAAGAAGGAATGCTAAGTACGTCCCCTTTACGCGACTACAAATCAGAAGAAATGCACGCCGGTCTTCTCAGTTGTGATGCAAGGACTACTTTCTCAGTAGCCAAGGGGAGAGTGTCATTGCAACGCAGTATGCTTGGAGCGACCATGACTTTCTTAAGATGATATTCGCACTTTTTGGTTGGATACATTTCTGGAATGAGCGCACACGCCAAGCAGCGCTTGTTTGGAAAGCTTTGGCCCGATCGTAAAATTCCAGGTCAACGGCGCAGATTAGCAGTGAAAGTGCAGCGTGTGGCAGCCCGCAACGCTCGACATGGCCCGTCATGCCCTCTGACATAACCTGATATTTAGCGCGCCCCTGGCGCTGGTAGCTATTCCAGTCGGGGACAAACAACAAACGCCTGAAGAGACTCGAGCCCCCACTGTTCGATAGTGCACTGTAAATATGAATAAAGTTTGTAAATCTGAACGCATCTGTTCTAGCTATCTGAGCTATCCGGATGGATTTAAACATATTACAGGATGGGGCAATTTCAAGCACAATTCGGCGATGAAAGCCTTCCTTTCCCTTCCATCTGGTTGCACCCCAAAAAGATGTTGAGGAATAGAACAACACATTTAGTGCGGTTTGTTCCAGCGTGAAAACAGTATTGGGCTGATGTTGATCGAATTCATCGACATGAAACACCTAGGCCCAAGACATATCCCGCTCATATCAATTTGCCAAGACGAACCAAAGCGTTGGTCATCATATGTTGTAAGCAGCCCACTTTGAAGACCTGTTCGGTCACCAGTATTTACATACCCTGTCCTTCATGGTATCAACGTGTCTGTTGAGAATGCCGTACAAATTTAACTTTACTTTTATGCATAGGTACATTGTGGTGGTGTAGTTGTCGAAGGTGCAATAGCTAACGTCCTAGCACTCCCGTCGGTGGGAGTGTCTGCGGTAACACTTCCGTCGGTGGGAGTTTCTGCCGTATCACTCCCGTCGATGGGAGTTTCTGCCGTATCACTCCCGTCGGTGGGAGTTTCTGCCGTAGCACTCCCGTCGGTGGGAGTTTCTGCCGTATCACTCCCGTCGGTGGGAGTTTCTGCGCATCACTCCCGTCGGTGGGAGTTTCTGCCGTATCACTCCCGTCGGTGGAAGTTTCTGTCGTAGCACTCCCGTCGGTGGGAGTTTCTGCCGTAGCACTAACGTCGGTGGGAGTTTCTGCCGCATCACTAACGTCGGTGGGAGTTTCTGCCGCATCACGCCCTTTGGTGGGAGTTTCTGCCGTATCACTCCCGCCGGTGGGAGTTTCTGCCGTAGCACTCCCGTCGGTGGGAGTTTCTGCCGTAGCACTAACGCCGGTGGGAGTCTCTGCCGCATCACTAACGTTGGTGGGAGTTTCTGCCGTATCACTATCGTCGGTGGGAGTTTCTGCCGTGGCACTAACGCCGAGACACACTCGGAACGGCGAGGCTGTGCCCGAGTGGCTATCGAAACGCGTTATCGCCGCAAAAGGGCTGGCGTCCGACTCGTGGATACACCTGAACTGTAGATTTGTTCTGTGGAGGTACACCTTTGGATAAAAGCACAAACCAGACTCGATCGTGAAACGCCACTAACGTATTCACAATTTGCAAGATGACTTAAATAAAGAGCACTGGAGTACCTTTAACGG